TAGGTGGGTAATATGATCAGCATTACGCCGGCTGCCTGTACTTTCCCATGACATACATCCTGGTACCCATTTAAGGCTGGTCGACCTGTGACGCCCTATACCGTGATACAAATCCACGCAGCCAGCAGAGGGTTTCGATCGTGGTACGTTGAAATTACGAGTCGGACTCGCAACGCCTAAGCCACGGACGCCGCTCAATACTGTAGACTACATCCCAAAAGCATAAGTTTTTTACTTCAATTTTAACTTCTTCACTGCTCGTTTTGTTGTTAACCACGCTGGGCGTCGACTGAGATACAAGGTTCTGCTTCTTACTCTTTCCTGTTGCCTCGACAATAGACAAGACTTGCTGTGTACTGTTATAGTTTCTCCGATGTTATCTTTCCATGTGGTTCTTGGTCTACCTCGTGTTCTACATACTTCTCCTCGTTTGGCGTATGCCTTGTATGGCATGGCGCCACAGGGCGTTCTTTCTGAGTTGGCAAACCATCTGATTTGCTGTCTTTGTATGTAATTTAATAGGGATGCTAGTGAAGTTTTATATATAGTTTTTTTTAAAATTTTACTTATGAAACCATCACAGCTAGAAAGAGATTAAAATATCTAATCCAATGGCACCTCAATGAAGCCTGTGAGTAAATTCTAAGTGAATCATTATTATTTTAGTGGCGGATACCACATAGACAAGTTATAGTGCAATGTGATAAAAGACGGTGAAAATGACTAAAGACTAAATATTTGCATTTTATAGCAATAACTTTTCAAAAAACTGTTTTATTTCCAAGAAAGGCATCATACGTTCATTGCACCTAGAGGCCTAACGATTGCAAGATGCGCCATTTTACATCTCTCTTGACTACCCCTTGGACATCTGATGCTAAACCCCATGGGACTCAAAGAGTTAATAAATCCCTTAGCAATTATGTATCACTGCAATTGGGCCAGTGAGGTCTAACTGTGTATGTATTTGTTAAATATGTATGATGCAAAATGGGCCTAATTAACATATAACAATGGCTGCAGTTCCCTTTTTTTTTTAAATTAACGCTATATACATTTATGACTATCTGCCAACGAGCCTGGCAGGATGTATACCATATTGTGCGGAGTGATGAGGCAGACATACGTTTCACACAGAAATGCTGCGATATTAGGCAACATGATCTAATTAACATTACAAATGGCAACCATCTCATTAGTTTTAAATAGACAATTTATGGGTTTATGATTAAAAGAGCTTAAAGTGAAAAAAAAAAAAATTCCACTTCACTGCACTTGGTTTTATACTATACAGTTTGAGTTTTCTCTGCACAATGGCTAGCCATCTGTCGAGAATGATGCACAATGCACAACATCCGTAGCTTCAGCAACAATTCCCAGAGAGCCTATAACTTTCAAACCATTAGGCAAATGCAAATGACGCAACAAATTAGCCACTGTGTATTCTGCTTTTAGTTTTACTATAGTTTTAACATGTTTGTAAATATTTTAATGGAGTAGCGTGTTTGGATGTTATCTAACTTATAGTAATTAGAATTTACATGCTGTATAAATGTGATGGATTACAAATTTGATAGATATTAAAAGTCCACCTCTGGTAATAATTTTAAGTAACATGTAAAGAATGTCCAATACTGGACATTATTTGACCAAAAATAACAGGCTAATTTGTTAAACGATAATTCTGAATGGCACAGGAATGATGTTATATTTATATAATCTCCAACTGGCTCATGAAAGTAAAAAAATGTTCCCCAAAACTGATTTAGAGCATATCCTTTAGGATAAGTAGCTGCCACTATGAAAATGAATGCCAACTAACAGTATTTTGTAAAGACCACAAATAACTATTTTTCAAGAAGTCAACAGAAATAATTAAATTAATATTTCCCCATGTTGGTTCTCTGGCCCTATTATAGGGAAAACAAGAATAGACTAATTGCCTACCCAAAAGCATGTCATAAGAGTCCACTAATTAGGAGCTTCCTTCAAAGTCTGAGTGCATCTGCCTGATAGGCAAGGAACCAACAGTCTGCTGACAAATTAGTCAGATCTGTCAAACGGATGCACACACAACACTCAAGTTCTGGAACAGGACTGCAGTCCAGAAGTGGACAAACAACCAGAGCTTTCGGCCAGAGTTCAGCTGGTGAACGCGAAGAAGTAGATATTAATTTTTGACAATGAACATTCCCAACATGGAAAAAAAAACAGGATGTCTACTATTAATATTATCACGGAAGAGTGGGTGATCATCACAAAAATTACACTAGTCAACAACCAAAACGTACCAGAAATGAATACATATGATCTGAACTAATTTTGGTGTGCTGAAAACGAAAATGACATAAAAAATGTTCATAAGCTCTAGTTTTCAAGCTATACGCTACGTTTACTTAATTAGGGTAAATTACATATATTACATAACTCTTGTAATTTATTTTCTAATGAATAAAACAACTGTTACCTTCTTATTCTGTGCGTTCGGTTTTGTAAGCTCAGATCAGACCATTAGGTGGGTTGACTCAATGAACTTGCATGTCAGCAGCAGGTCTTTCATGGTTCCCCATAGCTTGCTCTGCACATTTTGCTCTTGAGGCCAGGTGTCTTTTCAAAGTTGTAGGCAGAATATGCTCAGGTGTTTGTGGTCCTGTTTGACAGGCACACTGTGGGGGACTGTACAGTCTTTATTTTATGCATGTGGTAGTTGAGCCTGCAGTGTCCTGTTTGTACACGGGAAATTGAGGAATGTTGCTTTCTGTTGAGTCTCCTGATGGGGTCTTGTGGATGTTTACTGTTTGTTCTCTCCATAATTCCTTGTATTTTCCCTTGATTAGTGTTCTGATTTCTGGTAATGACAATGAATGGGTGTGTTGCTTCTCCTTTGTTCCATGTTTTGCAAGTCTGTCTGTTAACTCATTTCGTGGTATGCCGCAGTAAGCCGGGATCCACTGGAGAACAATTTGATTGTTTTCTGAGAGTCTGTTGAGCTGACGGGTCAGCTCTCTATCTATGTTGTCTCGTGGATCCCTCTGAAACTGTAACCAGATTTTGATGATCCAGTCCTACCTATGATTACATCATCTTTCTGTATAAATGTTTTATCTTTGGAAATTTTTTTTGCCATTATAAGCTAGTGTCTTTGTCTTTATTAATACTATCTTATTAGAAATACTTAGGGTGTGTGAACAGCGCTGATCACTTCTGTTATGTATGTGATGAGGTGACATTTCTCTCACAATAACAAAATATAACTTAAGTGATTAAAAAGGCATACATTTTGTATTTTGGCTGCAGAATATGAGATCAAGATAAGAGCTGGTTGCCACACATGTGCTGCAGATCTTAAACTGTGGTTGACTGGCAAAAAGTAAGTAATGTCTTTTGCAGTCTCAATGATTTTCTGGTCTAATGATAAACTTTGTCAAGACCATGGAGACAACAGAGGATGCTTTCAAAAATTTCATCAGCAAATTTCCAAGACTGAGTGAAGCTAAAATTAGAGGAAGTATATGTGAATAAGATTCAGGAATCTTATTCTCTGTTCAAAAGTGAAAAAAAGAAAAAAAAAATATTCTGAAATTGTCTTTTAATATGAAGCGGTTTAACATAAATGGAAGATAATCAATCAACATTTTGAACACATTAAGGTTAAAATATCAGTAGGTTTATATTGCTGCACCTTGATATTTAAAATTTATAAGGACAACATTTTGGTTTGAAAGCTTTCACTGACCTTGTTATTAGGGCTGTACCGAATAGTAATTTTCACTATTCGGCCGAATACGGATAGCTGGACCAACTATTCGGCCGAATACGAATACGAATAGTGAATCATCATCATCATGTGCTTTGCCGGCTGGCATGGGCGATTATGTCTCGCCACAATCTGTGATCTCCTGCAGCACGTATTAGTTCGTGTGCTGACACACCTCCATGAAAAACCTTCGTTCCATGTTGTCAGCATTAGGCCAGCTTTTTGTCTCACAGAAGGTATTTCCAGCTGTACTAAACAGGAAAATACGACAAATACAGAGAGTCAAAATGAAAACCCGCAAGGCGAAACATCAAAAACAAAAATAACGCCGACGAAGAAAACAATGCCGTCCTTACAAGTCGCCCAGCCCCCCGCGAGCTCACGAAACCAGACGCCGGGCAACCAACGCCAGAAGATTAAACAACAAAGACAATCAAGAAACCGAACGTCGATCAAAACATTCAGCCGCTGCCGTTTCCACGAGACAACGAAAGAACAGATACGACACCCATAAATGATGACGAACTCCCGTTACTTCAAAGAATCAACGAAGAGGACACTCCACTCAAAGAAATCAAGCCGACAACACTAGAACACTTGCTTTTCTGCCCCTCTTACATTTTTAAGTGTTGCATTTTGTTTCTACAGCAACACTTCTAAAAACACTATACTCGCAACACATGCAAGATGGAAATAAAGGGGCACTTGGTACGCTCGTAGGTGGTGCACAAAGATAACGCTTCACAGTATAAACCAAAGTGGGAAGGTTTGATGTTTTTTTTTCACCAGTCCAGAAACGGTTGTGAGGTAACCACTATTCATATCCGGCCTGACCGCAACTATTCGGCCGAATACCGAATAGTTATTGGGTCCACTATTTGGCCCCGAAGCGAATATTCGGTACAGCCCTACTTGTAATGTCACCTTATATGGTGGTGTCGGGGTTTGTGTCCTCATTCCACCTTTTATGGTGGCGTCAGGGTTTGTGTCCTTCTCATTCCACCTTTTATGGTGGTGTCGGAGGGTGTGTTACCTTAATATGCCGCCTTTTATGGTAGCATAGGGGGTGTATTTAGCCGGAGAATGTAGGACTTATGCTAGTGCAGTCACCACAAACTCTACTGTGAAGATCAGGAATTTATATTTTATCCTGATATTTAAAAAATCCCATCACATTCCCAAGGATCTGAACCTGGGCCTTCAGAATACAAACCAATATCCCAGCTACTGTGGTAAGTAAAGTTTATTTGAAAAGACTGTTGGACTTCATTTTTTTCTTAAGCAAGGTTTTGTTTGCTGATCCTGCTATCCAGAACGGGAGCTTTCTCGTCGAGGCTTGAGAACTGGATTGACTAGGGCTCTGAGAAGACTGGGACTGCTGTAGACAGCTGGTCTGGGTATCAGACACTGACTTCTGAAGAAAGTTTGGCTCCAAGGAGTTTGGTTCTGGACTCAATGCCAAGGAACAGCTTGCCTTTACAGGAGGTTGAGGGGGTGACTGTGTCCTCTGTCGCTTTAAACACTGTCTAGTCTCTGCAGAAGCCTGTTGAATTACAGCAATAAGATTGATTATTAAACATTTTCCTTGAATCCTATAGCACAGAGCAGTACATAAAGATTTAATAATGGGTTAATGCTGAGTCACTGTATCAGGGTTTGTAGCCAATTTCACCAATTATTTTTTCAAGGTATTTTTTGCCTTGTTCAAGGGTGTGCTTTATTTGTGTGCACACATGTAGATGTACACACACAGATGTGCTTTTGCATCTTTTCTAGAATTGGGGGGGGGGGGGGGGGGGGGGGGGGGGGGGGGGGCGGGGGTGGGGGGGGGGGGGGTGGCGGGCGGGGGGGGGGGTGGGGGGGGGGGGGGGGGGGGGGGGGAATTGGGGGGGGGGGGGGGGGGGGGGGCGGAGGGGGGGGGGGGGGGGGGGGGGGGGGGGGGGGGGGGGGGGGGGGGGGGGGGAGAGAAGGGAACAAACTATGCTGTGCGTGTGCTGCACTTTGATATCTAGAGAGATAAAAAATGCAAAAACAATTTAGACAATATGGTACATACAGAAAAAACATGCTGAAATTTTGACAGGTATAGTTATCAAAACCACCAGGAAAAGACAAATATAGCTTATTGAGCAGTAAAGCAGCCACACACAAAAAGGAGAAAACAATTGATAAGGGAGGCAGAGAAAGAAAATAAAGATGTAGAAAACTTAAACAGGTGGGTAAAATCAACTTCCTCAAAATATAAGATGACAGAGTGAAATGGTAGAGTTCTAAACCAGATATTAGAAAAAAAAGAGAGAGAAAAAGAGAGACCGACAAAGACACAGGAGGAAAGAAAAGGATAGGAGAGAGAGAGGGGGAAAGGCAGACAGAAAAGAAAGTGACAGAACTAGAAGAAGGGAGAGACACAAAGATGGATGCAAAGACAGTTAGAGGGGGATGAGGGAGTGAAAGGTAGAGCGATTGGGGATGAAGGGAAAGAAACAGACAAAGAGAGAGAGAGAGAAGGAGACAGAGATGACACTAAGAGGGGGAATAGACAGGAGTGGTAGATAGAGGGAGAGAAGGAAAGACAGACAGAGAAGGTGGTACAGAGATGAAGAGAGAGGGCAGGATCGAGAGAGGGCAAACAGATTTAGAGAAGTACAAAGAGGAAGGGAGAAAGTCAAGCAGATACAGACATAAAAAAAGGGAAGGGAAAAAGAGAAGCAGGCACACAGAGATATGGAGAGGAAGTGAGGAAAAGAGAGGCAAAAAGATAGATGGAGATAGGAAGAGAGCAAGAGATAGACTTAAAGAGGCACAGAGAGTGACAGTCAAAAATAAATTGAGATATACACAGGAAGGAAGCGACAGGCATAACAAACACTGAGATACAGAGAGTGAGGAAGGCAGGAAAAGAGACAAAAATAAAGAGATAGAGAAGGGAGATCTGCAAACAGACATGAGAGATACAGAGATGGAGTGAGAGAGATAGATAGATTCAGAGAGTGAGGAAGAGAGATATAACAAGAAATAAATACAGAGGAAGGGAAAGAGAGACAAACAGACACAGAGGAAGGAAGCAAACAGACAAACAGAGACAGAGTGAGGCAGGAAAAGAGAGGGCAGAAAGATATACAAAGAGAGTGAACGGCAAACATACCCTGGCACATGTAGACAATTGGAGAGACAGGGCAAACGGACAGAAAGATATAGAGAGGAAGCAGACACAGAGAGGCAGATATAAGTGGGAGTGAGGCAGACAGAGAGATACACAGGGACAGGGAGAGGCAAATAGACATGAGACAAAGACAGGGGAAGAGAGAGATGCAAACAGACAAAATGGTATTCACCTTAGATGAGCTAACCTCCCACTTCTCGTCACCACTGACATCAATGTCAACAATCTCCTGCTTAAATGGTGCATTTCCACAAAGAACAATTTCATCGTTACTATTCTTCTCCTGTCCATGCTTCTGCACCAGTAGAGCCACAACAACTTTAATATGGTTGTATTCCACATATTCCGGCAGCTGATCCTTGATTTTGGTCAGGCTGTTGATTCCTAATATTTAACAAAAATGAATAAAAATTATGGCAGGTGCACGTGTAGGATGTGAAATTATGTAGGAGACTAAATAACATGAGAGGACACATAACCCCCCCCCCCCCCCCCCAAAAAAAAAAAAAACAACTGCATTTTATCATATAGTAACTGTTTTCCCCATGTGTTAGTTATTTTGAAGCTCCACCCTGGCTTTTGCCGGGAGCCCTAAAGATAGCCAGGCCATATTTAAGGCTGAACAGGATTTCCGGGACCTCTCCACGGGTGATCCTCATCCGTATGGTGGCAATTTGTGTCACTGGGTGTTTATCCCTGTGTGATGTCCTGGTGGGGGACAACTTACCTACCTACCTGCATTTTATAAAATGAAAAACTAAAGCTACATGCCCTTGCCCATGAAAGTTAGGGAGCTGTCGTGGTCTAGTGGTAGGCTCACCTGCAAATCGAAAGGTTGTAGGTTCAGGTCCTGATGGAGCCAGATTTTTTTTCAGATATGACCATCACTTTCAGGTCAACTCAGCGTTGAGTATGTACCAGGTAAAGTCATGGGAAGTAACGGCAGCTGGCACAATGCTGACCTCATCACCCACCAAGTCCTGATTGGTCAATAAAATATAGCTCTAGCCTTATATGCTCAATATGACCAAAGGCATGGAAAAGGGTCCTTGATTTTTTTCTAAAAGTTATTGAAAAAAAATTTGTTTTATATGAAGAAAAAAAAAAGTTACTTTTCAGTGCAAATCACAGAGCATAAACAAGTAAAGGATCCTTTTTACACCAGCAACGCATTAGGGTACATCATTCTAGACCCATATTTTTATAGACCAATTGGCAACAGGTGGTCGAGGTATTCGCTTCCTGCCGGCCACCTTTATTTCCCAGGATGTTATCCAATACCCATTTCAGAGTCCGTAGCCAAATTTACCAATCAATTTCAAAGCTTTTCAAGGTATTCTTTGTTTTTTTAAGGTTTTGTCGGGGTAATACTGAGGCAAGGTATTTTTCCTTGTTCAAGGGTATAAGCTGCACACACGGTACTTTATTCATGCGCAAATATATGGGTATACCAGCACAAATATAGTGTTTTTACATTTTTGTTTTCTAGTTTTGGTCGCAGAGGAAAGCAAGCTGAGAGAGAGAGAGAAAGAGAGAGAGAGAGAGTCATATACAGAGGAAGGAAGATGGATGCTGAGGCAGAGTGGAAGAAACAGTGTGAAAGACAGAGTAGGGGAGAGGCAGGTAAAAATGGCCAGATGAAGAAAGGGGCAAGAAGGAAATGAGAGGTAGAGGGAAGAAGCAAAAAATATGACAAAGAGAGGGACGGAGGGAGAGAGAAGGGAGATGAAGAGAAGGAGACACAAGCAGAGAAATGTAAACAAAAAAGAAGGAGAGACAGAGGGTAATATATAGAGGCAAACAGACATAGGGTGAGAAACAGAGAGAGAGAGAGAAAGAGAGAGAGAGAGAGAGAAAGGCAGAGCAAGAGAAGGGAGGGAAGGAAGGAGGTAGACACAGAAAGAGAGAAAGGCAGTGACAAACAGAGGCCAAATGTCAGGGGTGCTAAAAAATAAAACAGATCACAAGAAGAAGAAAAGAAATTTCACAAGAAAAAACAAAAAGCCTGAGGCTGCACCCCCTCTCCCCCCACCCCCCCCCCCCCCACCGCACAATTTCGTATATACTGAACACAGCTACTAGACAGAGAAAAGTCAAGGAGATGAAGACTAGAGGAGAGGGAGACAGAGGATGAAGAGAAAAAGAAGAGAGAGAGGCAGGGGGAAGAGTAAGAGAAAACAGTAATGATACAGGGAGAGGAAGGAGGTAGAAAGGAGAAAAGAGTGGTAGAAAAGTGGAATATCAAAGAAAAAATGGGGAGGGGGAGGAATGGAATGCTGAACGCAAAAAGTAGAATTGAGAAATCTAAGTGATGTCACTTTTCCCAGCCTACAATCTTTCCCGCGCAGTTTGCTGATGATCAGTTTAAATGGTGTAACACAAAAACTATAACCGCAAAAAGACCTACTGCTGAAAATCACCGGAGTTTTCCTTTTGTTATCTGTGTCCAGGTTACAGCGTGCAAAGTTCAAGGATTGGTGGGTGAAGTTCAAGGATTGGTGGGTGAAGTTCCAGGATTTTCCTCAGTTTTCATTTAAAAAATGCAGTTTTCTTCCAGACCTTCAGAGGGATCTTGCGTTTCCAGAATTTTTCCAGGTCCACTACGAACCCTGCCATTTTAGGCTGTGTCGACCTGGGAGCTAAAGTCATTTATGAAAAAATCTGATTTGATGCAGATTTGAACCACAGATGAGTAAACCAGTATCCTTGGAACATATTTTCTGACTTCTTCACTTGTGCATATTTGACCACATTGCATATATGTGGCTATAACAGTAAACACTTGAATTTTTAATGGGTTTTTCTGTATCTCTGCACTGGGAAGGCTTACCTGGACAACAAATGCCTGCAATGTCGGCTAAAAGGCGCAAATATCACAACCATGTTGTAAAGGGGCACAACTCATTTACATCCTTGGAGGATGAACGGAGAAGAAGAAGATGATTTTGTCGCCTATCTTTATTATTTAAAAATTTGTTTACCTCAAAATTCAACATTAGTTTAAATACAATTAAAAAAGAGCTTAATCAATACACTACAACATTATTCTAAGTATCCTATGTACCTACCTCCATTGACAGGCGGTGCCCAGATAGCCTTGGTAACCAGGTTTTCCATTTTCTCGGTCACCCCAAGGCGCCGAATATCAACATTCAACCCTTCTTTCATGGCTTCACATAAGTGAGTGACCACAGTGGAGACTTTTAAGCCCCGACGTGAAGCTACCTCTTCCTTTAAAAAAAAAAAATAGAATGAGAATATCTTTGGTAAATTTTATGTTTTATTTTGGTGTTTTCAAGGATTAAACCCCACCCCCACACACAACATGAACTGACTGCTAAAACCTCCATGACCTGAAAGAAAAATTAAAGTAAAATGCTTTGGCCACACACCATCTCAAAAAGTTAATGATAAACACAGCCAAGTCAATAAACATCATGCGTCACACACTACAACTTGTTTTTTAACTCTTTTTTAGTCGCATCTCATAAAAAAACATAGGTGTACTACATCCCCAGGTATCAAATGCCCAGTAATTGCAGAAGACAAATGTGTTGCTGGGTGCTTTATTGTCCTGACAGAAAATAAAACACACACACATAAAAAGTAAGTTGATGGTGCCCATGAACCAATCCAGCCACACATGATGCACTGTTTGGCACTGAAAGAGTTAACTTACTTGACCACAAAGACAACAGAATAGCAATGTTCAACAACAAAGAAACAATCAGTAAGTTAAAACTCCACACCTGACAATTTGCACAAGAAAATTAATAACTTTTGTTTCATTAACTAATTTTACAATACTACATTTTATGAGTGTTTTTTTAAAAACTTATTACTTAGGGCATAGCTGATTAACTTTAACATGATGTGGAAAACAGAACATATTAGGTGTAAAAAATTACCAATGACTGATTGTTTACTGCAAACATGATGTACGACTGCCGCTGGGTTTCTGAGATTTTCATTAAGGTATCCTTGATAGCACCAATACTGTCGTCAGTGCCCTGTGGAAATAACATAGTTTTCTTTTAAACATTTTCAAATGTATTATTTGGCTGCCCTCTCACAGGCTTTACTGCAAGATTTTAACACGTTGGGTCCAGTGACCTGGAAAACAAACTTACCAAACGACCCATATTTCAAGAATTCGTCGGGGGAAAAAATCTTCTTAAAAAATTTTTTTTTTTTTTACATAGGTCAAATAAATCTTAACAATTCCATTATGGACCAAAGGAATATTGATTTCCACACTGAATAAGAGGATTAATCAATAAACTTGAATGCAGGAGAGAAGTAAGTGATTTACCTCTCTCTGACCATTACAAAAAGTGTATAGAGTGACCAGTGACTCATACTTCGCCCCTCAACTCCTGGGTAACCACTAGCTGTAATCATCATATTTTATATTTATAAAGCCATTTGTTCACAAGACCCCCACCAAGTTGTTTTTAGTAATTATAATCAACACTGGTCCTCCTAAATGTGTGCACGGGAGCAAACAATAACAGTGCTGTTAGATATGCTTCTCATGAATAAGCACCACAATGGCAAGTCAGTAAAGTGACATTTATGGGGGACTTAACCCAGTCGGAAGTGTTGGTTTTACAGCTTCTCAGGGTTAAACAACAAAACCAGCAATGTCACATTTCACACACTAGCAAGTAAAAGTAAAGGGACCTTTCCACATCTCTGACACACTGGCAAAATTAAGATAGCCAGCTCAACATCCCAGGACATAAGCTGGTATCCACATTCAGCTGGATGGTTCTGGGAAGCCAGGTCAATTTGAAAAAATAGAAATATCCACCTTGATATGTAGCTGAGGCCTAGACCACATCAGACAAGCATGTAAGTGCCTAGCCACTTAGGTGCTACATCTCCTTTTCATTTATGAGTCATTAACCATTAGGTGAGGCAATCATCTACGATCTTCATAACTTTTTTACACAGAAACATCTCTCATACCCACCGAATGAGGCAATTTTTTAATAAAAAAGTTTACTCGGAGGCAAACATTTTGAAAATGGTGATCTTAATGAACCAGGGCCCGAGCCCCAGAAAGGAAAGATCATGAATTCAACACAGCTTGCAGTAATCCACAGGCAGATTTGGCCGGTTGGCCTCCAGTTGAACAGTCATTACCTATGGTGAGGGGTTTGAGGTTTTGAACAACAGATCAACATCATGGCACACGGGTGTAACCCATAAGTGCACCGTTCTTCTTTTAACTCAAGTATGAGTCCAAAGAAGCTCATCACAGTGCACAGGCTCTGTAGCACCAGCGAGGATCCTGAAATACTTTGGGTAGATTTTAACTCAAATTTTTCCCTTGTAGCACATTTAGGCTACTCTTTTTGATTTCCAAATGCCAAGGGATTTTTTAAATGCGCAACAATGCACACGGGCGTCTACCCAGAGACCAGGGGAGCATTACTAGTCCAAGTCGACGTGAAAAAAATCCCAGCCCTTCCCTGGGATTGAACCCGGAATCTTTAGCACCTGAAGCGGACACCATGCCTCGAGATCATGGAGATCCCTTAAGATGAGGGGTTAAACATACACTACATTAGAAAATGATATACCGCTGCATGAAGCTCTTCTGGAAATTCATCCATTTTCAGGTCATATTGACTGCAGAATGATTTAATAAACTCCAGGAACTTGTCACCAAACCGATCAGCCTTGACCTCAGGGAAGTCTTCAAGTTTTAATAACGAGGATCTCGTGCTTGGCCTGAAGCAGGAAAATATTAATACAAAATAAAATGTCACTTAGACTGAATAAGTGATAATTTTCCTTCTTTTTGCCTATCTGCTTTCTACATTTTACTGCTTTCCAGAAAGCTCTGGTTGTTCGTCCACTTCAAGGCTTTGGTCTTGTTCCAGAACTAGAATTTTGCATGAATTTCCACTTTACACATCTGGCTTATTTATGTGCAGATTGTTGGTTCCTTGCCTCTCAGGCAGATACAATCTTATTTAAAAGGAAACATCCAGAATTAGTGGACTTTTTGGATTAGGGGGTGTGGGCATTGGTTACACCCCAGAATCCACATGGGAAAGTCAGAATGTGTGAAACCCGCTGGTCTGTTTCCACCCTACACTGGAAGAAAGGCTTGAGTGTTCCAATTTTGAATTAAGAATCAACATCACAGCACTTAAGACACTCCCATAAGTGCTCCGTCCCCATCTTCAGCAGCAAGTGAAGAGTTCTAATTTCGATGGCACCAGTAACTGACTGATTCTATATCTCATCATTCCCCTGTGCTGAGCGTCGGCCAGGTTCCCTGGTTACTCCTCGCAGCCCCATTCTCCTCAGACCGTAATGATCTATCTGTGCCTCCTCATTGTTGACTGGTTCCCAAAGGGCCCTCACAATACCTAGCTTGTCATACATTAATTCACCACCAAGCGGTGCAGAGCCAGCCAGTCTAGCAGCCTGCTCATTTCCCAACACACCAGGATGAACTCAAGAAAATATTCAAAGGACGCTAACTACACGGGACCTCCGATGTGATGCTTTCCACTCTGCACGAAGTATGCAGATTGCTGGTTCCTTGTCACTCTGCACGAAGTATGCCTGTCTTCACCTTTCTCAACATGCTCTGTAAGTCAGTTACAATGACGGCCTGTGTGTACAGCTGATTCTCAAGCCAGCGGAAGGCAGCAGAGACTGCCTCCACCTCCATTCTCAAACTAGATGTGATATAATATGCAAGGGTTTCCTGCACTAAGCGACGTCCATTCACCTTTGCTGTGAACCCCTTTGCACTTTGCCCACCAACACAGAGCCATTTGTATAGATAATCACATCACTTTCGTTTTGTATGTAAGTGTTCCAATGACAGTCAGAGCTATGGTGCCAGCAGCTAAGCTAATGCTAGGGTCTTCTGTGTCAGAAAGGTCAACAGTTAGAAACCGGAGAAAGATACAGTGGGTAATCTGGGGACAGTCAAATGCTAGGGAGAATAAATTTGAAAAAAATGTCTGGTGAGCTCAGAGGTACTGAGCAATGGGCTTGACGAAAAAGAAAATCATAACTTCTTCAACATGTCAAATGTGTGAGATAGGAACGATAAGTCAAACAGAAAAAAGATGTGAATCTTCTTTCCCCCCCCCCCCCCATCCCCCCCCCCCCTCCTCCTCATTTCACTGGCTGTAAACTCTGGAAGGAAGTTCTGGTTGTTCGGTTGTTCGTCCACTTCTAGACTTTGGTAGCGTTAGTGTAGTTGATAGGAGACTCGCTTTAAAATCCAGCTGCACATTCGTTTTACACATCTGGTTTATTTACATGTATTTAGACTGCTGGTTCCCTGCCTCTCAGGCAGATGCACTCTGCTTCTGCAAGAAACATCCCTAATTGGTAAACTTTTACAACATGCTGGGTGTGTTTGTGTGTGTGGTGGGGGGGGGGGGGATCTATTATTTCTTCCTCCATAACGGAGTCCTGGTACCCAAAGAGGGAAACGGGGAAAAAAAAAGATGTTAATAGAATATGCATACCTGAACTTTGCCATGTCTAACAACACTTTGTTGCTAGCAATATTATGAGGTGTGAATCCCGTCTCCTGAGATATGCTGTTTCGAGTCTTCACAAGTTTAACATACAAATCAGTTTCAAGTCTAACAATTCTGTCATCCTTTGGTGGTGCAGATGGCTGCAATGTAGCTGGCAACAACTGTGATCCAGAAACAGAATCAGCTGTCAGTGATGCAGAAATGCTCGGCTTCACAACATAGCTTGAAGCAACTGCTTGACTTGGCCTGTCGGTATGACAATGGCGGAAAAATTCAAATTTCAAGGCAGATATTTAGTAAACATTCATTTTTAAAAAACTTTAAACAAACAACTGTTGTTACTGCCGGTATTTACCAGTTTGCGGTGTAGGCAGGGGGTGTCTTTGAGCCACAGGATTTAGGGCTGCATGGCTAGCGAGGTTAGGGTTTGACTGTTGCCCCTAAAAAACCTACAACCTTACTGATGATTCGAAACTGAGTCCTCACAGGAGAGCCCGGTGTTCTTAGCGGTTCAGCCAACTAATCCTCAATGAAGTAAACACTTACCAAAACAACAAAAGAAAAAAAAAACTACAGCTAAAAAGAACCTACTGAAAACAAAATTAAAATAAATACAACGAGGGTGATGACTCAGTAAGAAGGACAGCATCACTTCAGAGACCCAGAGTAATTAGCGCCTGATCATATTTTCTCCAGGGTAGGCAGATCTGTTGGGGAAACAAGCAGGCAGACAGACTGGCTGGTTCCGCACTACTTAAACTGATGCATGACATGCTAGGTGCTGTAAGGGCCCTCTGAGACTCAGTGAACAGTATGGAAGTACAAAACAAATCATCACGGTCTAAAGAAATTGGTGCAGCAAGAAATGACCAGGGGATCTGGCCAACGCTCAACACTCAGGGAAAGATGAGATGGACATACAATCAGTCACTGGTACTATTGGAATTGGAACTCTGCACATGCTGCTGATGATGGGGAAGGAGCGCTTATGTGAATGTCCTTAGTGTTACAATGTCGGTTCTTAACGCAACTAAATGAAAGATAGCTAACTCACTGTGGTAGTGAGAAACCTTGCAATTTTGGTCAAGTATTCTGAAACTGTGTTACATTAGGAGACATGATAGTCAGCTTAACAGCGCATAGGTGGAAGAAAATACAAATTTACTCAATTAATACTGCACCTGGGCTTGCTAAGTGATTCACTGAGAATGATGGGGACAGTTTTGAATGCAGGCAGTTATTGTAACTACAAAGATGCATAATTCAATATTACATTTATCTTCACACAAGGCCAAGAGGGCAATGAAAGAGCACAGAAGGTGGCTAGTGCTGCCACAGTGTCAGCCATGGACTAAAAAAGACTGTAATGATCTGAATGTAAAAGAAGACAAGCAAAACAAGCCAACGATTATGCTAATCAATTAACACAAAATAAGTAAAGTGTCAAAGCAACACACTGATTACATTTATTAAGGAGATCACAATACTGATGGATATGTAAAAGGATACCCTACACCAAAGTAAACAAATGTTACTCTCAGCGCAAAAGTACCATATAAAAATGGATATCATTCTACATTTTCTGCCCTTCCCCAACAAATGGAGAACAGGCCTTTAACCAACTGTCTCCTTCTTCACCTTCCACAACAAAAAAGAAATAACACTAATCCCTATATACATATACAATCAGAAACTGTTAGAATATTATCTGAGCACAGATTACATACCCCCAGAGAGAATACAAATATTTTAGAAATAGCGCACATTTCCCCCAGATTTGTTACAATTATGACAGTTTGTTCTAGTTAGAAATAAGCAAATTCCAGTGCTTGTATTGGCTATTTTGATGTTGTTGATAATGTGTACTATTACTTGATATATGAATACAATTATGTATGAAAGGAGTGAGACCAAAAGAGCAGAACTTTAGAGGGGCCTGCTGCCCAATTCTTAACCTTTTGACAATAAAGTTTGTTCATTTTTTCGTTCTTTATGTTCACCGGCTGTAAACTCTGTGGAATGTTCTGGTTGTTCATCCACTTCTGGAGTACAGTCTTGTTACAGAACCTGAGTGTTAAGATCCATTTTACAGATGATTTATTTGTATGCAGATTGCTGGTTCCTTGCCTCTCCGGCAGATGTACTCCGATGCAAAGGAAGCCCCCCCAATCAGAAGATTCTTATGACATGCTTACTGGTGAGGCAATGGGTCTATTCTTGTTTTCCTCACAATGGGGCCCCCGGAGCCCACATGGGGAAGCCAACTGGCTAAGCCCCATCATTTGCCAGTGCATGCAGCTCTAATCCTCTAATCCCTTTTCCATGTGTATTCAGTTTGTTTGTTTGGTCTATCTACATTTTTTGGTTGTGCGTTCAAGTTCAAAGACATTTTAGTCCTAAAAAAAAAAAACACAGGTCACTAAACATTTTTTTAAAGTTTTCAAACATCTGCAAAATTTGTTTTATAAATATATGAACACAAGTAATCTTCTGAGCGTACAAAATAATTTGTACAGCCACTCATACTGTGACCCGATTACTAAAGGTTAAAGGGGGATTATGAATAACGACTATGAAACAAAAATAAAGCATCCCCCCCTCCCCCCATGCTATTTTCTTTTAGTAAATATAATATCTGGCTCTCCTAAACCCTGCGCAGGCACAAACAGAGCCAATGTCATTAACTCAACTTGTTGGGGCCGGCCAATGCAGCAATGCTGATTTAGCTGCTTCTCAGGGATTTATAACATGTAGCTATGCCGGATTATGGACATTTCAGAGCCAGATAGTTAACAATCAAGGACAGTCTGTTAATGTTACTAGGTTTAAGAACCACTACTATATTTGAAGTTCGGAGTAAGAACATTTGAATTATTCATGTTTCATGCTTGGAGACTGAAAGTTTAAGTTAATCCTAAAACTCACTTCATGGAAACAGATACAACAGATTTTTTCTTCTGCATTTCTTCCTCCTGTTGCAGGTCTCCAGTTGGTGTAATAAAAAGATGACATTCATCACTTCTATTCAAACGATTTAGCCACGTCTTGGCCTTCTGAGTAGTTTCCACAGTGGAGCCAAATCCTCCCTGAACAGCTTTTTCTCTCAGATAGCCCTCGTAGATCAATGCTCTTCCTTAACATGAAAGTTGAAAAGCATGGATTATTTAGGGATAATTCAACTACTGTAAAGAAAAGAATATCTTAGGCAGACCTTCATCATATACGCTAGACCACAGGATAAAAGGACCTTCCCCATCTATGGTTAATTATTTACTGTCAGCATCTACACCTTAAGGCATCTGCTGAGGGAGAAGAGCACTTAGGAATATGCCCAGTATGCTATCAGTCGATTCTTAAATCAGCAATTTGTAATCAGTATTCTGTAGCATTTATGTCATTATTTTACAATAAAAGATGGAGAGGAATGGATGGGATACTTAAACTGCACAACAGAGAAAATAAAAACATAACACTTTAAATTCCTATCATGAAAAAGGTAAGAACTATAGAAAAAAAGAAGAAGCAAGTAAAAGAACACATATTACAATTGTTCCAAACATTAACCAAAAAAAAAAAACATAATAATCTGTTATGGTAAATGATAGATATTATATGTTCCAAACATAACCTCAAGGGTTTCCTCTTCTTATTCTTAGCATTCACTGGCTGCAAAAATCAGGAGGAAAGCTCTGGTTGTTCGTCCAGTCCTAGACTTTATAGTCTTTTTCCAAACTTGAGTGCGGTGTTCATATCTGTATTACAGATCTGGGTTATTTGTATGCAGCTGCTAGATCCTTGCCTCTTAGGCAAATATAATCCAACTTTGAAGAAAACCCTAGTTAGTGAACTCGTACTACATGCTTGTTAGGGTGACAGGGGGTCTATTCTGGTTTCCCCCACAATGGGGCCACAGAACCTAGACGGGAATAAGTCCAAAGAGTTTTTATTTTGGATATTTTATTTTAAAAATTGATTACATCCAGTCCTAGTCCTTCTTATACATTTTTAACCTGCATAATATTGGTAGTGTATTACTGACATATTTCTATACGTCCCCATTTCCCTTCAAATTGTATAATTTACAAATCTGCTATTAACACGGAAAGAAGATACAAACCTAAAGCTGTCCAGAAGCTTGCACTTTTGTACCTTCAGATTGAAACAAAAAATGTCAACAATAGGCATCAAAATAAAACAAATGTATACCCAGAGTTCTGCTATTTCAGTTTATCACTGTACAAGCCAGACTGTCAAGAAGTAAACTGTTACATGTGGATACAAAAATTCCTAATCTATTAAAAATAAATTGCTCACTGTTTCATATTTGTTGTTGTTGGTGGTCATAATGCTAGTGTAATTTCCAGATGTTTCAATGTTAGATAGTTCTTAGATCACAGAGTCTTTAAAAAGTGTCACATAAATACATGCTTACCATATTTACATAGCATGTGGCTATAGGATAAAGACCATGGTTTTGTGTCCAACAGTCTGGTTATTAATAGTCAGTTATAACCAACATCTAGTTGATAACAGTGAAATAACTCTGACATGGATACTAAGCCAAATATGAACCAGAAAATAACCTGAACTTGGTTATTAAGTCAAATATAAACCAGAAAATAACCCAAACTTGGTTACTAAGTCAAATAAAACATAATTTTATTATTAACAGTCAAAATTTGGTTCAAAAGAAATGCATAATGTCCAACAGTCTGGTTATTAATAGTCAGTTATAACCAACATCTAGTTGATAACAGTGAAATAACTCTGACATGGATACTAAGCCAAATATGAACCAGAAAATAACCTGAACTTGGTTACTAAGTCAAATATAAACCAGAAAATAACCCAAACTTGGTTACTAAGTCAAATAAAACATCATTTTATTATTAACAGTCAAAATTTGGTTCAAAAGAAATGCATAATTATAATTCTCTGAAGCTCTGTGCGCCCCCCCCCCCCCCTTTCCAAGAAGAGAAGAAGCAGAGAAATTTTGAGTCTTGATCAGTTTTTATAAACGTCCAGGGGGGCAGAAACCAATGGCCACCAAGCAGACAAACATGCCAGCTAGTGCGGCCCTCAAGTCCTTATTTTGCGCAAAGATTTTTTTTTTTTTTTTTTTTTTTTATCTGAAGGAAAAAAATCATTAAATGCAATTGGACAATCGGAACAAAGAAATAACTACTTTCCTTCCCGATGCCCAAGAAAACTGGAGTTTTGTTGTCAAAGATCAAAAAGACACCATCATAAGTTTAAAATGTCATGACACACAAGCAAACAAAATAATTTTTTCATGCTAAAATTCTCACCTTCAAAAAGTAAAAAAAAAATATAATCCTGCCCACCTAAACCAAAGCTGTTATACAGGCACATTGGTCACTGCCCAAAGACGAAATATAATCAAAAATTGCAAAAGCAGGAAAACTGACTTTATCGGGGCAAGAGGGTAAACATATAGTTCTTCTTCTCTTCTCTACTCTTGGAATGCCTCTCAGCGTCAAGGCAGGAAGAGATCTCTGCAACACGCCCTTCTGTTTTCTTCGTATAAAGTATTTCAGTGGCACTGATATTTCTATGATCCATCTTCTGTGTGGCTGACCTCTGGTCTGGTATTGCTGTATCTGTATAACACTGTTCTCTGTGGTGCCCTGTCTGATGCCAATCTTGTTAAATGGCTAAATCATATGAGCTGTTGTCTACCAATAAAGTTCAGTATTGGTTCTATGCCGACTCTCCTCTTGATATCATAGCTCCTAAACCGACCTTTTCTCGCTATACCTAGCATAGTACATAAACATTTCATTTCTCCAGTTTCTATTTTCCTTCTGTCTTCTGAAGACTGTGTCCAAGTATGACATTGATAGCACAGCCTTGGTAAGAATACTGTGTTAAACAATTCTCTTTTAGTGTTCATATTCACTTGCTTGCATTTCGAAATTGGTGCCAATTGGCCTAAAACTTGACTGGCTTTATGCATATTTGTTGGATTTCTTTATTAATTTTTCTGTCTTCTGAACAACTATTCTTCCTTTTCTGGAGAATGTCGTAACCTCTGTTTTGCCTTTGTTGATCTTCATATCATAGTTGTCGCATGCTGATAAAGTCCATTAGTGTGTTCTTGTACTTGTACTGCTGTTGGTGCTATGACTGCCTGGTAATCGGTGACAAGCAATTCATTTAGTAATTCTCCAAACTTACAAACTAACTTACACTGAACTAATAAACTTACTTTCCTGCTCCAAATATTTTGTTTGATTTAAAGAACTGCACCTTCTGCGTCTCAGATCCTTTAAGAACCAGGATAGGGACTTGGAGACCATAGCGATTTCCTGTTGCCTGACAAAATCAGAAACATTAACATGAGTTAGTCGGTTAATTGCCTGATCATACTCTTCAGACAAGTTAATAAGAGCTCAGATCCCATCTTCAGTATCCCCCTCAGCATGTGACTACCGATAACACCAGTTCTGTGTTGGTTTACTATTCTTCTTTGGCTACGGGTATAGTGTTCATTTCTGGCACAACTCTTCTTACATGAAGCTTTTGTAATCTTGATAAGGTTGCAGATTCACCAATGTCTCCTGAATCATCTATTTGTCTTGCCTCTTTGAGAGTACTGAGAACATTGGCCCAGCCCATTACTTTTCCTGTGCCAGGCGTGGCCCTGCCAGCAAGCCAGTCAGCTCATTCACCCTTACTCAGAGCGCCCTAACAAAATGTATATGATGACTCATACCATGACCCCCGCACTATGCAACCGACAAAAGGCTAATGGTATATTATGATGCTACAGAGACATGTAAAATATTAATTTATCTAAAAAGGCAACCCCCCCACCCCACTAAACCAAAGCTAATGTTTTTGTAAATATAATCCATATAACTGCTACTTCAAAGCAAAGCGCAGGCAGAAACAGAACCATTTCTGTTAACCAGGCGATTTATAAGACTTTGGGGCCCAAAGGAGAATTTAAATACAAACACAAAACGAGATAAATACCAAATAGCTAAATAACAGGTTCTAATACAATACTGGTAAGTGTATGAGATAATAAACCAAAAATACTAACATTTATCAGCATGGCAAAAGATGATGAAGAATATTAAATAAACCACACAGAATGATGAAGAATATTTAATAAAACACACGATAACAGAATCAAATTTTGGTAAAATTGTATGTGTTGGCTGAAAGGTGCAAATATCACAGCTAAGCTGTAAACAGGCTTATCACAATATATCGACAGGTGAAAGAAGAAGAAATGTTTGTAATATAAAATCTTACTTCTATAGCTTTAAAAAGATCAGCTGCTTCTTTCCTGTAATCAACAGATTTCTCAGAGTCAGCTGAGACGTCTAGGCCATGACATATCTTAGCAGACCTGCATTTAAATAAACATGTTAAAAAGCTTGTCTCATAAATTTCATAACAATTTAACTTACTGCATTTAAACATCACAGTCAAAGACAAGCAATGATTACTTTTTAACTGGCATTTATCTTATCTTCTGCCCATGAAGATAAGACCTGAATCAGTGCATGTCTCATTCTTATGCTGAAATTTATTTTATGATGGGATAATTTCTTCAGCTAAAGTTTATATGCCAGCCCTCGTTTAGCCTTTTCTTCCATAATTGTACCGGTAATATATCATCAAGGACTAGTATTTTGTTTGTTTATTATGAAATAAAGCGGGATCGATTTATGACAACTACCAACACTAAATGGATGCCCCACACATAGTAATAGCTGTAATGTGTTTCTTTGTACTGGGTCTAACTCGTACAACTAAGACACAGCTGTTGTCTAGAATTCAAGTTCACACATCAGACGAGACAGAGCTTCTTCGCAATCACTTCCCCATACCACAGTCGAAGCCAGTTGATTACAGTTCCACATTTATTGGCAACGACACATGAGCTACGAGAATACAGTCCAACAGTCTATAGTCTACCGACAATCTACAGCATAACACTTACTTCATCACACAGGTTCCATGTGTTTGCACTTTGAAGAATACAGCCAAGCCTTAAACGTTTAACGATCACATGCACACAATTAGCACTCAGCAGGACACATCACATGTCTTCCTCTCAGCTGTCTTTGAATGTAGCTTTTGATGCAGTCGATCCACTTTCAGTACTGTCAGCTCTGGATCAACTTACACTCCTTATCCCTCTAGGGCCCTGTCATTGAATGAATCGCTATTCTGCTATTCCCCTAGTAATCTCATGTTCCCAAGTGAACTCACCCAACCTCGTGTTTTCCCACTTTAACCTTGACTTTCATGTCTTTCAACCTAGGGACTTCGTCAATTTAACCGACCAATCAAACCCCTTACACTAATCCTATATTTAGCATAACTACACTAGCATTTCTAGCCTTTTCTGGTTCTTAAACCCCAGGTGTAGATTTTTAGAAGTGTTAATTACCCTGAATTAGTCTTGAATAGATTTATGACAACTCCAAGTGTATATCCACATATTATATAAAGTAGGTGTGGGAAACGCCCAGCCCGCAAAATCATTTGTCTGGGCCTGCCATAGCAACAGCCAAAACATTAGGGATGAGCTGATGAAATGTTGGATCTAATATAACAGGCACATTTTTAAGCTGATAATTTTGTATTATCTACAGGTAATGTTATGAATATCCAATTGGTCCTTGACCGGAAAAACTGTTCCTCATCCTTGATATAGAGAATTACTTTAAGACTAACATGAAAATATAATGTAACATGTAAAACTATGATTTCATTAATAAATGAACTTACCTTAAACGGCAATTATCACAACAGTTCAGAGTACCACCAATTTCTTTCAGATTTCCGCTTTCAAAATATGACAGCAGTATCCTGAAAAATATGCCACAATTTGCGAAAGTATAAAAAAGAAGTGTTTCTTTGCATTATGTTTATATTTTGTGTACTTTCTTCTGAGCTATCAATGCAGATTCGGTTTAAAGTCTATCAACGTTTAGTAAGTGTATTGTTCTTGAAATGTGGAAATTTTAGAACATGTAGACATATTTTAGAGAAAAAACTTAACCTTAGCCCTTTCACCCCAGTGAACTAGAATAAACAATGCGAAAGACCCCTATTTCTAGAATTTCAAGTTTTCCCCAAAGAATAATCGGCTCTTCTTTAAATAACGGTCGCTAGCTGGAAAGCCGACGGTCGCTTAGTCGGAGTTCACTCCCTTGGCTGCATTGCAAATGCGGAGCGTAAAGAGGGAACGAAACAAATTACCTATCATCATACGGTTGCGTAGGGTGTAGGGTTAGGGTGTGGGTTAGGGTTTGGGGTAGGGTGTGGGTTAGGGTTTGGGGTAGGGTGTGGGTTAGGGTTAGGGTTAGGGTTAGGGGTAGGGTTAGGGTTAGAGTTTGGGTTAGGGTTAGGGTTAGGTGTGAAAATTTTGACGCAGTTCCAAATAATGGCCGACAATCTGATGCTTGTGGCAGTGGCGCCACTGGAATTCTCCTAAATATGACGGCAATAGTGTGCGGCTGGTGCCCAATTTTCACATCTAACCCTAACCCTAACCCAAACTCTAACCCTAACCCAAACTTATCGGTTATTAAGGCATACAGATCTGCAGGAGTCACATCCGTGGCAACTAAGTCGTGCGTCGCAAGAACCTGGTTGCTAATGTGAGTCGGAGCTTGATGTCTAACTGCCATGTTGACCTTGTTTTTGATTCGTGACTTTTCCACTCCGTATTTGCAATGCAGCCAAGGGAGTGAACTCCGACTAAGCGATCGTCGGCTTTCCAGCTAGCGACCGTTATTTAAAGGAGAGTCGAATAATCCTTTAAAAACAAATTTAAAAAACTATTTTACAGACCACACACAAAAATCATATCAATTTCATTTATGGATAAAAAACAATAATTAACTGAACACAAAACAGTGGGATAGTGGGAGTAACCAAAAAACACGGACAGGGCAGAGAATGGATTTTGTTACATCTCTCTGTGCTTTAAACAAAATTGTTTAGCGTGACCTGGCTTGGAAATTCTGATGTCTAAACTTCTATATAAAAAAAGACCCTTTCACAACCAAATCTCATCTAAATGCTATTTTTGACAACTATGCTTGTTACTGGTCAGTCTAAAAAGTTGCCCAGGAAAAAAGGAAACAGTTCTGTTAGCAGGGCTCCTCGTATTCAAGCCGGGAAAGGGACATTTACATGGTCATAGCTCAGACCATAAGCGCCAGGTTTTGTGCTTCTCAGGGCAGGACGATAAAGTGAAAAGAATCTCCATCATCGCCTGGCTCTGCAAAACTTGGTGGTATACTGATGGATGATAAGACAGACGTGGATAAGGCCTTATGGGAGGACGGGTACAATTAGGAGCAGCTAACTGATCATCAGTGATGCAGCAAGGAGTGATGAGGGACTCTGGCTAATACTAGGCGCTCAGAGGAAAGGCAAGACAGACATATAATCAGACTGCTACTGGTACTATTGGTACTGGAACTCTGTGCTGGCTGCTGAAGATGGGGACGGAGTGCTTGTGGAAGTGCCCCGAGTGCTGTGATGTCAGTTCTTGAATCAATTCAACTCAATTCTCCATCAATAAATATTAACATGCTAGAGATCTCTCTGTAACTTCTTTGTCAAGGTGGCAAGTGATCAGATTATGATCTGGTTGAAAAACACACTATTTTTGTTTAATCTTCATTTCTGAGAAGAACTAAACTGAAAGTCATATTTCTCCTGCCCTGCATGCTTTCATAATCTCAGGAACCTTACCAACAAATTACAACTATTGGCAGGAAAAGCTGAAGGAAGACAAGTTTGCTGCCTTATCAGCCTGAAAGGCTAAGGAAGACTGGCCCTACAAAAATATGCTTTGGAATTGTATGGTCTAAAGACAAGTGTAACTTTATACTGAGAACTAACATGTCACCTTTGGGAACTATATTTATTGCTTATTATTTTGCCTTAAACACAATAAAAGCACTATATTTCAACTAGCCAATGCCTACACATACTTGAGGTAGTATGCAGTTCATCATCATCATCAAGTGCTCTGCTGACTAGCGCAGGTGATCATACTTTGCATCTTGCCAACATTCACAGCATGTAATGGGCCATGTGCTGACATCTTTCCACACTACAACATTGGGCTGTCAAGAATCATCTTTTATTGTCTTCCTATGTCTTTTTCCACCAAATCTTTCTAGTTATCACACGTTCCAGTGGTTCTTTTCTGGCCAAATAAGATGACTGGCTTTTTAAAAAAAGAAAATTGCACATTTAACTTATCTTACCGTGAGGGCAAATTTTTTTTTTTTGGGGGGGGGGGGGGGGGGGGGGGGGGTGTACACGGTACCAGCATCTTTTAGGCATAACTTTTTTCAGCGCTACTGTAGTAGACACTTGGCAGTGAGCACCAGCAGTTTTTTTATTTTATTTATTTGGGTGGGGGGACACTGTGATTAGTTTTTTATAGAAAAATAAAGCCCTGCTCATTACTTAACAAAGCAAAACTGATCTGTAAAGAATCTAACCTCCTACGACAAGAAGTCGTAGACAAATACTGTTCCATCTTCTGCAGCATTTTTAACTTGTGGTCTCTGAACTTCTCACTGGGGATTGCTGAGATGAAATGTCTGGTTTGGAAAAGAAAGAGGTAATAAAATTATATACTGTCAACAGACTAAAGTACCATAAACATTCTTCTTCTTCTGTCGTCTAACTGATACCAGCTTGTAGCCCAGTGTCGTGGTCCTCCCTATTTACCTTGCACTTCTCAGGTAATGGATTTGTTCATCTATTTTTGTAGGTTTCAGCTACACCATTTATCCAGTTCTTTCATGGCCTTCCCCTCACCTTCCTTCCAGATGTTCTGCTCTAAAAAAATCTCATTTGCAGTTTGGTCTAACTGATACCAGCTTGTAGCCCAGTATCGTGGTCCTCCCTATTTACCTTGCACTTCTCAGGTAATGGATTTGTTCATCTATTTTTGTAGGTTTCAGCTACACCATTTATCCAGTTCTTTCATGGCCTTCCCCTCACCTTCCTTCCAGATGTTCTGCTCTAAAAAAATCTCATTTGCAGTTTGGTTTGACTGCATTCTTACTAGTAGTGGCGGTTGATTATACCACTGCCGGCTAGCTAGGCTCGTTGCGTGGTGGGGCAAGGATAAAAAATTGACCTGGCTGATGATGCCCGTCACCTTCCTTGGGAATCATTTATTGAAACCTTTTCAGTTTTTACATGTACACCATGACCATAGACATTACCTCATATAAATGTGATCCATCTATTGTGGATATACAAAGTACATCACCTCCGACAGCAAGTCTATCATTGGTATCGCTACTTTCAGTTGCAATATGACGATAACATCCACTTATGTATCTCTACTTATCCAGGAATTATCGCTTTCAGCACTACATTTGCTGGCAGATTCTGAATCATCCATAATACGGGTTTGGCTTTCATCATTAGACATGACAAAAAAGGTTGAATATGAGCTTGTAACGAAAATTAACACAATTTCACAGAAAACTGCTCAAACAGATACCAATCAAAGGCGCAGCCATCTTGGAAAAAATAAAATATTTTGGATAGAGCGCATTTTGAAAACTATCGGTAAGCTGTCTGTTTGTAGTCTACAAGTCACTAATTCAATGATCATCAAATCTGGTCACTAAGGGATATGACCGAAAATTTGATGATCGTCGATTTGATCAGGAAAGTGTTAATAAGAGTTCTGCTGAAATCAGATGTGTTGCGCCGAAAAAGGCAGATATTGCAACCTAGATGTAAACAACAACATAATGTGCCACCTGTTCCTTTAAAAGCAAATGCAGAACAAGCCGCCCCATTTTTTGCTGTCAACTTTTCTGCTATCGAAAGAGTTTAACAAGACAAGTTTACCTTGAGAGGTTGAAATCTGATCTTGAGAAAAGTGTTGTGCACACACTAGGTAATCCATCTCTGCCTGCTCTTCCAATCTCCTGATAGTAAGATTCTATGTCCTTGGGTGCTGGAAACAAATGCAGAAGTTATAGAAATGTCACTATTTTCCTTCTTCTTGTTCTGACAGCCATTTCTGCAAAGCTTTCCATGTACATCTTTCTCCATATTCTGTGGCCTATATTGTTTAATATTTACCCAAACAAAGCTTATTTCCTTAATTCATCTCTTCAAACATTAATGTATTTCAGCAATACAAATAAATGTTTTTGTCTGCACTACGATAACATAAAAATTATATATGCATGAATAACAAATTATAACAAATTTACCACACAGTCATTTATGCATATAAGTATTTTCTTCTAAACCTTCACCGGAAAGATCTGGTTATTCCATTACTCCTAGACTTTGATCTTGTTCACGAACTTGAGTTTTGCTTGCACATCCACCTTACAGATCAGACATCTGTGTATGCAGACTGTTGGTCCTTGCCTCCCAGGCAGATGCACTCTGACTTTGAAGGAAATGCCCTTTAGCTGCCTCCTAGGACATGATTGCTGGTGTGGGGGAGGGGCTGAATCTATTCTTTGTTCTTCAAAATGAAGCCATTAAACCTATATAGGGACATTAGGTAGCAAAATATGTTTTGCCTGTCTGCCTTCACTTTTCCCTCCAGTTTGATTTTAACAGTATTATACCTTTCAACATAGTTAAAATATTTTACTTGCCTCATTCGGACCTCCGGTAGAACCTTTGTAATTGATTGCATAAGTTTCATGAAATAAGACCTAATCTTATGTACATCTCCTTCTACAGGGCCTAATTCAACTTTCTAATTGCACGTTCACTGCAATATAACAGTAGCATAGACCAGTGATCCCAGGTTAGCTGAAGCTAGCTTGGTTCGGGCACTTGGTGAGACATGATTCGTTTGCAAAGACTATTTCAAGGAACACTGGGGAAAAGGGGGAGGGGGTGTAGTAGAAGAAGAGAACAAAGAAGAACCTAGAATGACAACATCAAGAAATGGACAGGACTAAGTTATTATACACTTATTCATCAAACGGAAGACAGAGAAAGAATGCCGGTTTTGTGTGTTAGTGTTCTAATCGATGCACCTCTACCACCGTAACGGGTCAAGGGTTATGTTATGTAAAGCCTGCTAACACCCTCTTATTTTTGAAGGTCTGGAACCATGGATCCCTTTCTTTTTAAGTCTTACTAAATATCTGAATCACAAAAAGGATTAGTTTTGGATTTTTTAAAATGACATCACAGACTCATTAAATTTGTTGCATCTCTGGATTACCTTTGCAGAACCTTGGTCCCATAAGGACCTACCAGAAAATTTCTTGATCACAAGCAAGATGTCCTGCGCCCAATACACCCATCTGGAGATCATCCATCGCATCCTGCACCCATCTTCTCTTTGGCCTTTCTTTTCCTCTCTTCCCCAGCATATACCCCTCCATTATTGTTCTCTCTAAACCTTCGTGAAGTTTTGAGTGATATTAAAATGTACCTAAATGTTTTCTTAAATTTTACCTCCATAATGGATAACTCTCCTTATGTCTGGTTTGTCAATACCCATTCCAAATGCAACAGTTGCTACAACCACCTGAAAAGTGAAAAACAATAAAAGAAATATCCGCAATAGCCACCTGAAAAGTGGAAGCCGCTGTGGCATAGTGGCTAGATGCTCGACCGTGGGCCTAAAAGTTGTCTCAAATCTGTATGGAGTTGAATTTTTTTTTTTTTAATGACCATGGCCTCCTAGGGAGACCATAACTTACAGTGGGTACTAGGCAAAGTCCTAGGAAGTAAAGGTGGTTGGCATGACGCTAATCACATCACCCATTGAGTGCCAATTGGTCTGTTAATTATAGGTCTAGCACTGTACATAGAATTGGGTGAAAATGGGTCCTTTACTACTTTAAACCTGAAAAGTGGGAACATACTAATAGAAATATCTGCAACAATAATTGAAAAGTTGAAAACATTTATAGAAATATTTGCAACAATCACCTAAAACATTTCCTGAGAGAACCGGCATGTGTGTTTCTGACAATAATGGACATAAAAAACTGGAGATCAGATGAGTAGTTGACTTTTCCTAAATTAATGAAATCATCAAAATGTTGTGTTGTCCACTATGCAAAAATACTTGTCTCATTTTGAAAACTGACAGCAAAAAAAAAAAAAAAAAAAACTCAAGGATTAACTGTGCATGCAGAAGTTTACTGTTTTTGTTGGGAAAAAGTAGTCTGTAGAAAGTGCTTAGCTTCAAGAAGTAATTATGGGGATATATTTTTTGCCAGCAACAACCAATCTGTTTATTCTGCATGAGTTTGTGGAGTGGGTGCCACCACGTTCAATAATTTTTGTGAAAATATGAACCAGCAAGGTCTTTATCACAAAACATTTCACAAGAAGTCACAAGAATTAGAGGACATAGTTTTCTCTCAGACCGTGAAGTTTGTTCGTCAAGTTCAAGTACAGCAGGCAGGCATCACTGTACATGACAATGATGCACTGGATATTACTGTCAGCTCTGATAGCACTTGTCTGATGAGAGGCCACACATCCTAAATTAGGGTTGGCTGTGCAGTGGATATCCTTACAGGACTTTGCACAGATGTGCATGTTATGTCCACATATTGTCAGGTGTATGAAACCACTGGTAAGAGAGTTTCCAAATCTAAACCAGCTGAATTTAAAGAACGGAAGGCAGATCATCTTCTAAACTGTGATAATAATTTCTCAGGATCTGCATGAATGATGGAGGTGGAGGCTGCACAAGTGCTGTTGCAGCGGTTTGTCGTCCGTCATAAGCTTTGTTTTACATCAATACTTTCCGATGGTGATGACAAAACACTTGTGGAGCTTACCAAGATCAAACCGTATGGAAAGGACAGTCACACACACACACACACACACAAAAGTCCTCACCTGAATTTTGTCATTCAAAAAGGAATGATGAGCCTCCCTGCGAGCAGAAAATGACAAAGATGCATGATAGGACATGCATGGTACATCAAGACCTGAAAGTAATTTTAAGGAAAGCTCAGTTAGCAGTTTGCACCCTGGATGCAGATATGTAAATATGAAACATGAACAGAAAATACCACCTCATCAAGTATTTCAGTGTTAGTCATGAAGCATCCTGGGAATTCTTTTCTGTAATTCTTTTCTGTAGCTATCTGTCTTGTGTCATTCTCTTTAATTTTATGTGGACATGCACTGATAGACTGTGAACATGTTTCAGATATTTATCTCCATCTATGTGCCATTTCCCCCCTGGTGTCTTGTGATATTCTGTGTTACCACGCCCCGTGTGGGTTCCAGGACTCCACTGGAGGTAGGGGGGAGACAACCCCCCCCCCCCCCCCACCTTTCCTAACAAGCATGTCGTGGAAGACAACTAATTATGTGTTTCCTTAAAAAGCGAAGTGCATCTGCTTAAAAGGCAAGGAACCAACAGTCTGCATACAATTAGCTAGATCTGTAAAAATGGAGGCACACTCAAACTAAGGTACTGGAACAAGTCCAAAACTGGATGAATAACCAGAACTTTCCACCGGAGATTGCAGCTAGTGAAGGCAGACAGACAAATTGTGTCCATAATGTACAGAAATTAAATGTCTACAGTGAAATTTAAAAGTAAAAGGAAGAGACCGATTCAGAAACAATATTAGAAAACAAGTGGAGAAGAAAGCAGTGCTGAACTAAATCCAGAGACAGCAGATTAAAGGTCCAGGTATGTATTAAGACTGCCACAGGACAGTGTCAATTAAACACAATGGAAGCTGTTAGAGGCTGCCAGGGCAAGTGATAGATGAAAAAACCAGCATCTACACAGTACACACCAAGGCCCGCAACAGATGCCTCCTCAAAACCAGATGCTGAAAGGGTGGCGCGGTGATTTCGGTCACAGGCATGAGGCAAAGTTAAGTCTGATGTGAGGTGTATAAGGAGATACTCCGTACCCCTCTCGGGCGCCAGTCCTTCACTGTTCTGGTTTTACGGAACCTCATGCAAGACTCCTGCTGCACGTCCCAGTCGTGCGCCATGGATAATGTCTCAAATGAGCATTAACAGAGTTGGCAGGGGATCTGGGAGCTGGCGGCCCCTAGAGGTGTAGTGTCCTTTCTGGCTCTCACCAGCCCGCCCCCAAACGCATGGGTGAAAAGTCTAACGAAACTCAAGGATTGCTTGCTAAATGTACCATCAAATGACAACTCTTGGTTAAAATTCGGGAGCGAATGGAAAACTGTGCTGCTGAGACTCAACCCTGACCGAGAGATTTACCCGCAGCCAAGACGAGTAACATCTGTTGTGGGCGACTTCTCGCAGTAAGATCCTACCTACGCACATCCTCAATCCTCAGTGTCGTCGTCACCGCGCTGAGGTACACCACAGCAAGCAACTTTTCATATGCTGGCTTGGAAATAATGTCCGACAAAGTTATACCCCACGGCACACATGCAAGCTCAAAGTCCGACGATCATAATTCGTACCGATTAAGAAAAGTCCGAATGTCCGTATCACTGGTCCAACTCGCCCGAGTGTTGGGACCAAACAGGTGAAGCCACGCCTGACGCATTTTGCTACCCCATTCTGTCGTGCTAGGGCACAGCTGAAACAACGTTAAAGGTGTCTAACGTAAGATGAAAAAGAATGTACCTATTTGTGTGGCCACAAACGTCCTAGACCTGCGGGCTGCTCCCCGCTGATCTCCGGAGAGAGCAGCCTTGTAGCGCGGGAAGCTCAATACACGGTTGTGAGGTTAAGCAGTCATGTGCAGGACGTGACGATTCCTTGGGTGAGCCCAGAACCAGAGCATCATGTGTCGGCTCTGCATTTATGGAAGCCTCCTTGGATGGCGGGGAATGCCCATGATCTGCCCCTGCCTTCCCTTGAGGGCTGACAATTCTACATAGAGCTGCCTTAAGGACGACATTCCGGGGGCCACACCTGTTAAAGGTCAAAGAGGACACCACACAAATGAGGCAACATCTCGACCCACACAAAACAATGGCCACAGTTAACCTAGAAACAGGCTTGACGTCTTCCCCCGAAGTCGGAGTACATCTGCCGGAGAGGCGGGGAACGAGAACTGCGAACAAATAAGCCAGTAAAACGGATGTACACGCAAAACTCAGGTCAAGGTAAAAGCCAAAAGTCCATTTTGGACGAACAACCGTGACTTACCGCCGGAATTCACAGCCGGTGAACAAGAAGAAGAAGAAGAAGAAGAAGATGCTGAAAGGTAAAATAGGGACTACAGGAAAAAAAAAGAAGAATAAAAGAAAAAAAACTAATATCCTTCACATTGTACCCACACAAGACACAGTATCTATAAATGACATAAAAGAAATTATTCTGACCATTCAAAGCACTTGTTACTTCTTCAGTTACTTTCTTTGTTGGGCAATAGATGATAGTAGGTCCATCAAAGCAAAACTTGTATCCCACTTTCTGCATGAAATTCTTCAAGTCAGCTGCGATATCACCATGTTTGGCCTCAACATTAAGGAACAGGTTCGGTCTGAAAATAAGCAACGTTTATAATTAACTGGAATAAATGAATCACATGAAGAATACTACTGTTAACTACCTACTTGTGTAGGCAATCATGCCTCTCCACATGAAAGAAGACAAAGAATATTTGGTATCACTGATTTTATTTATATAAATATTTCAAGTTGTAACAACATCTTCTATAACTCACAACTGTTTCTCTTATGTTTGTGCTAAGTGGTTCCCTTGTGTCAAAGCTTTCAAAAGCATTTAAATCAAATTGTGTCGGTCCAAAATATTGTAAGCATTCTTTTGTCAAACCACCTCTGAGGCTTAAAGTGATTTTATGTTTGTACCCAACTGTCCTGGAATCAGAGTCATATGGAAAAACAGCATAATTTTCAGAAGAAATAGCTAATATTATTTATAGTTTCATGTTTTATCCTATACTGCTTTAATCAATAAGTGTAGAGCTGGGTATAACTAAGTATTACAATCTTCCACACTTGCACTCAACTTTCCTGGAATCAGAGTCATATGGAAAAACATAATTTTCAAAAGCAATAGCTGATATTATTTATAGTGTCATGTTTTATCCTATACTGCTTTAATCAATATGTGTGAAGTATAATAGGTATAACGAATTATTACAAACAGTCTTCCACTTGCACCCAACTGTCCTGGAATCAGAGTTATATGGAAAAACAACATAATTTTCAGAAGAAACGGATAATATTATAGTTTCATGTTTTATCCTATACTGCTTTAATCAATATGTATTGAGCTGGGAATAACTAATTATTACAAACAATCTTCCACATTACCTTATCTCACAGTTTCAGTAATGTATTATGGAGGATGCATAACTGAGATAAGAAACAGAATGGGACAGGCAAAAACTGCATTTTATAAAATGAAAAACATCTTGTGCAAAATATCCTTGTCATTGAGAGTTAGAAAAAAGAATTCTTACATCCAGTTTTAACATATGACTGTGAATCCTGGACAATCGGTAGGCAGGCCAAACAATTTCTAGAGGCCTCAGAGATGTGGTTTTACAGAAGAATGCTTAGAATACCTTGGACAGCCAAAAAGAGCAACCAAAAGGTTTTGAAAGAGGCGGGAGCCCGAAGACAACTTATCACAGACATCAGAAGGAGACAGTCCTCATTTTTCAGCTATGTTATGAGAAGAGGGAAAATAGAGCATGTTGTGACCACTGGAAAGATCTGTGGAAGGAGAGATAGAGGATTACAACGAGAGAAGATGCTTGACAGTCTTGTTGCATGACATGGAGGTGTGTCGGCACACGAACTGATACATGCTGCAGGAGATCGCAGATTATGGAGAGGCATGATCACCCACGCCAGTTGGCAAGGCACCTGATGATGATGATGATGTTTATGGAGGATGATGTTTGCACACACAAAAAACAACAACAACAACAACAAAGGATATATATCTATAATAATTTTACCATCTTATAAGATAAATTTTAAACCAATCAGATAATTTCTCTAACAACTAGTCTGCATGAGAGTCTAAACCAGTGCTTTTCAACAGTCTGCTGCATGCCGAATACTGTGCCCAAGCACTGCCTAGCAAGTGACCCATGGATCATTGCCAACTGTTTAGTATTAATGATCTGAGGCTCGGGCCTCTGGCCTATGACCATCCCCATTATCAAGATTTTAGCCCCTGAGTAAACTGTGTTGAACAGCTCTGGTCTAATCATTCGTAATTCCACCAGTCATGAGATTAACTTCACAAGTTTGTTCATTACATAACATTTAAAACAGAATTCAGTCCCCCTGATGATTATTTATTCCACAAATACCTGTCAAATCCAGTACAGGTCATGTTAGGTCTTACAAGTCTCAAACTGGAGCAGATGTCTTTCTGCACATCAAATGTTGCTGTGGCTGTCACTGCCAAAATGGGAATCTGTTGACAACATTTATTTGTTAATTTTCAACAACAAAAACAACAACAACAAATATGAATTCAGGAGAGACTGGCCAAATTGTTAGCAAACTCGGCTCTCATTCAAGAGCACCAAGTCTGAATCCTTCGTGAGGTGGTGAGACCAACTTATGCCATACCATCCTATCTTTAGTCTTCTCCTGTAACTGACTCAATCTCTTTCCCATATTATTTATGTCTGTCTAATTCTCTTAAATGTGTGTTTTTAGCTCTCCCTCTGTATCTGTTGTTACTAGGGCTGTACCGAATAGTGATTTTCACTATTTGGCCGAATACGAAAAGCTGGACCCACTATTCGGCCGAAAACGAATACGAATAGTGAATCATCATCATCATGTACTTTGCCGGCTGGCATGGGGGATTATGCCTCGCCAAAATCTGCGATCTCCTGCAGCACGTATTAGTTCGTGTGCTGACACACCTCCATGAAAAAACTTTGTTCCATGTTGTCAGCATTTTTGTCTCACTGAAGGTATTTCCAGGTGTATTAAACAGGAAAATACGACACATACAGAGAGTCAAGATGAAAACCCGCAAGGCGAAATATCAAAAACAAAAATAACGCCGACGAAGAAAACAATGCCGTCCTCACAAGTCGCCCGCCCCCGCGAGCTCAATGGAAACAAGATCGCGACACCAAAGACCACCGCGGCCACAGAGAGGGACACCGCCGAGAAGCCAACACCTGAAGATCACATAACGAAGAAATCCGTGCAGACGAAGAAACCAGACGCCGAGCGGCCAACGCCAGAAGATCAAACAACAAACGAGACAACAATAGAACAGTTACGACACCCACAAACACAAATGATGATGAACTCCCGTTACTTCAAACGATCAACGAAGAGGACACTCCACTCAAAGAAATCAAGCCGACAACACTAGAACACTTGCTTTTCTGCCCCTCTTACATTTTCAAGTGTTGCATTTTGTTTCTACAGCAACACACCTAAAAACACTATACTCGCAACACATACAAGATGGAAATAAAGGGGTAACAACCCCCCAACAAAGCAACAAAACAAAAAAGACGTTCACTTGGTACGCTCGTAGGTGGTGCACAAAGATAACGCTTGACAGTTTAAACCAAGGTGGGAAATCTTGATGTTTTTTTTCCACCAGTCCAGAAACGGTTGTGAGGTAACCACTATTCGTATTCGGCCCGACCGCAACTATTCAGCCAAATACCGAATAGTTATTGGGTCCACTATTCGGCCCCGAAGCAAATACGAAGCGAATATTCGGTACAGCCCTAGTTGTTACCTTATGGGTTCCAGCATAAGGACATTCTTGGGTGTACCTAAAGTCTTGACATAGGTAAAAATATATATTTTCAAAAAAGGAGATGTATTCAACTGAAATAGTAAAAAAAACGTATTTGCAATGCAAAGGTTGCTGCACTTTGCAAAAATTCACGTGAACTTGATGTAATAAATCCACACTGCCGTCAATTTTAGTACATTCACTCTTTATTTCCTATGTATCCAAAATTGAGGGTCTGTTATCAGATTTCCTCATGTGGTATTCAGTGGCAGCCTCTTTTTTTTTTCAGCCTTTGATTCCTTATTTGTTCAATAAGAAGGATTCCGGTAAGTCACAAAAATAAATTACGTGAGATTTCGGTTCTAAGTTCCACAAGGAACTTACAAGCTAAATTATGTAAGAAGAACAGAGCCAGAAAGACAAACCTTACAGATACAAATAAGAAATAATATGTAAAAATAAAATAAAAATATTAATGTTTGAAATATAATTCTTGTGATACAAGGTCTAGGCCACTGTTTCCCAACCTTTTTTGTGCCATGCCCCAACCAAGCCTTTCTAAAATGTGTATGCCCCCAATGTAAATTACACTCTGGACTGGAAGAGTCCATTTTTGGACTAGCTTCCTTAACAATCAAACTGCAGGTGGGGGTCATGTTGGGAAAAACTGGTCCAAGCATTAAGAATAAAAAAATTACTAAAATACAGAAAACAAGAGCAATACACTCTAGATAAAATTTAGGTTGACTCTAGTTTTTAAAAAAAGGTACAACAGGAAGAGAATTAAAAATAAAAAGTAATTAAGTGGACTGAGGTCACTGTACTGAGTTTGATCCCATATGGCCCAATCTCTCTACGCCGACTCCACCCACATAAAGTGTCAAACAAAGTGCAAACTTCACAGCTCCAGCTACAATACCAGGGATCCCCATAAAAACCACACTATGAACTGAATGATGCAGTCTTTATAACCTAAGTAGTTATGTTTGTTTTCATCATCCATTCAAGTGTAGATCTGTAACCAACTCACAGCAAACTGTCTTCTTGTTTGCCATCTTCTTTTTTGTTTCATTCGAAGTCAGAATGCATCCACCAGATAGGTGAGGAACGAACTGTGGGAATAAAAATAAGCATTGATGTGCACTCAAAATTCAAGTTCCGGAAGAAGTCCAGAAGTGACAGAAGAAGTCTAGAAGTGGAGGAACGAGAACTTTCCACTGGACTTTACAGTAGATGAATGCTAAGAGGAAGAGAGCCAACTACTTGCAGCATGTCAAGGTAAGTTAAAGTTAACCACAATGAATACTTCGAAGTACATCAGAAAGTGGGAGCCACCGTGGTGTAGCAGCTAGATGCTTGCCTGCAGATTGGAAGGTCATGAGTTCAAGTCCTTACGGACGCAGACTTTAAAAAAAAAATGACCTTGGCTCCTAGGTACCAGGTAGAATACCTGGGAAGTAAAGGTGGCCGGCGTGATGATGACCTCATCACCCACCAAGTGCCGATTGGTCTATAGAATATAGGTCTAGCCCTGTATGCTCAATATGCCTGAAAGTGTAGAAAAGGGTCCTATAATTTACTTTTACTTACACTACAAAGCAACAATTATCTCTAATGCTATGACAGCTCATTTGCTAGACGCCTGCCTGTTGACCCAATAATCACAGTTTAAAATCTGTATTGAGACATTTTTATAACTGACGGTGGACTAATCCTGCTTAAAAGAGGTACATGGAAATGTCCTGGAAAGTAATGGTGATCAGCATGATGCTGACCAAATCTTTCATCAAGTCTATAAAATGGTAGATCTAGCACTATATGACATACCTGGCGTGAAAAGTGTCTTTTGTTTGCTTTTTAAATATTATTCAAAGATACTTTTAATAAAGTGGTAAAAGGGCTCACTTTTGGAAATTCTTGCTTGAGAATTCCAAGTCTGCGATAAGACTCACGAAAATCATGTCCCCACTGGGAGACACAGTGGGCTTCATCAATGGCAATAAGGTCAATGCCTGGACAGTACAAAATTCAAGCAAATATGGTTAGGCATGAGTTATTTTAGTTTGAGTATATGAAGCACAAACTTTCGACCACTGAATAGCTGACTGTCTCAGTGCAGATGCAAAAAGAGAAATGCTTGAGAGATCGGAAGATCTGACGGATGGGTGGAGAGAGAGTGGAAAAAGGAGGGGGTTGGCTGTGTGTGTGTGTGAGAAAGAGATAGAGACAGAGAGAGAGAGAGACCAGTTTGCCACTGCCTTCTGAACAGTGTTATAAACCTAAAAGGAGTGGGAGGGGGGGGGCGTGTGTGCCAGTGTGTGTGTGCGCGCTCGTGTGGGTGTGTGGTGTGTGTGTGAAAGAGAGAGAGAGAGAGATAGAGAGAGAAAGAGATAGAGACAGAGAGAGACAGACCAGTTTGCCACTGCCTTCTGAACAGTTAGTGTTGTAAACCTTGTCAAAATTGACACAAAGTTGTCTGATACTGAATCACCCACATCAAAACGATTGGAATTATAAGGAGTTTTTGCAATGCCTAAGCGACAGATGCTGAACGAGAAGTAGTTAATGACACATGTCTTCATCCCTGTGTCCCCACAATACAATGACAGAAGAATGTGACTGTAAAAGCCACAGTACCAGAAACATAACAAATAGTAGGGTCACTTGAGTCAGGCAAGTCAACAGGGAAAGCCGAAGCAAATGCAGCTTAAACCTGCTACTGGGGATAATCAAGAGATAGAGAAGGCAGGTCTACCAAATTCTTGAGCTACAGTGATGGTTAATGAAAATAACAAAGTGATTATAACACAAATTTAAAAGAAAGCTAACATATATGGTATAAGGAAGTATATTCAATAGAGCATAGACTTATGAACACAACCATTTGTGAAATCAGGAAACATATTTTAATTTAGTAAAAGATATCTGAAAACTTCAATGTCAAAAAATACAAGGTTTTATTGACCATTTAGATCAATGATAACAGATAAAAGGTATTGTTGACCATGTAAATCAATGATAATAGATAAAAGGTATTGTTGACCATGTAAATCAATGATAACAGATAAAAGGTATTGTTGACCATGTAAATCAATGATAACAGATAAAAGGTATTGTTGACCATGTAAATCAATGATAACAGATAAAAGGTATTGTTGACCATGTAAATCAATTATAACAGATAAAAGGTATTGTTGACCATGTAAATCAATGATAACAGATAAAGGTATTGTTGACCATGTAAATCAATGATAATAGATAAAAGGTATTGTTGAACATGTAAATCAATGATAATAGATAAAAGGTATTGTTGACCATGTAAATCAATGATAATAGATAAAAGGTATTGTTGACCATGTAAATCAATGATAATAGATAAAAGGTATTGTTGACCATGTAAATCAATGATAATAGATAAAAGGTATTGTTGACCATGTAAATCAATGATAACAGATAAAAGGTATTGTTGACCATGTAAATCAATGATAACAGATAAAAGGTATTGTTGACCATATAAATCAATGATAACAGATAAAAGGTATTGTTGACCATGTAAATCAATGATAACAGATAAAAGGTATTGTTGACCATGTAAATCAATGATAAAAGATAAAAGGTATTGTTGACCATGTAAATCAATGATAACAGATAAAAGGTATTGTTGACCATGTAAATCAATGATAATAGATAAAAGGTATTGTTGACCATGTAAATCAATGATAATAGATAAACGGTATTGTTGACCATGTAAATCAATGATAATAGATAAAAGGTATTGTTGACCATGTAAATCAATAATAATAGATAAAAGGTATTGTTGACCATTTAAATCAATGATAACAGATAAAAGGTATTGTTGACCATGTAAATCAATGATAATCTACCTTGTAACCACTATTTAACCCTGCCTTAAGTAAAGAGGGCAGTAATAACATGCAATGTTTGTTTACTTGATATAAATATATTGTTTTAGGTAAGCAGCTCACGATGAGCCCAATAAAGCGACCAATCCCTGGATATGTACATCATCTCGTCAATCAACCAATGATGATTTGAACACAACAGTGAAGAAATACTATTTACCAAAGAGAAATTCTGGTGTTGGCAACCATAAGAAGAAAATTAACCTTACCAACTAGCTCGTCCAACTTTTTGAAATCTGAAATTGCAGTTGTTGCAAATTCTGGAGTAACATACACAAGGCGATACTTTCCAGAAAACATATCCTGTTTAACTGTGGCCATTTTTGACTGGGCTGAACCAAGGAAACATGCTTCTATGTTGGACGCTCTGTAGACAAGACAACTTATCTTAACCTTCAATTCTACTAATTCACCCCAAACAAAGAAAAGTGTATGCTAGTTCTTGAATGCATACATACTGGCAGAAAGTGGCCAAACAATGAAGATGCTTGTCTTACACCAAGAGACGGATTCTAATCACTATCTTTTTTTTTTCTCTGTCCATATGCACACATGCATAAATGTATTTGTGTGTATAAGCAGGCTTGTGTATTTTATGGCAAGCTTGTCTATGTATCTGTGATTTTTGTCTGTGTCAGCAGATCTGGTTATCTGTTCATGTCTTTAAAGATGTTCATGTTTGTCTTAGTCTTAGTCGAGGTTTCAACTTCACTGCAATCGAGTTTCCCGATATTTGCTCTGTTCCTGTGCCATGTTTATGTTTGTATCTGTGTCTATGAATCTGAGCATACTCATGTGCATACCTACGACTTTTTGTGTGCACGTGCACACACACATAATATATGAGAGTAAGTCAAAAATTGTCTACACTTTTGACCCAACTCTTCTTACATTGTCCACACTGACTTCTGTCTTCGCTTATTTTATTGTTACACCGTAGTGTCACGCTATGAAAATCTGATCCACCATTTTTCTTCCTTCTGTTGCAGACAGATCACAGCCGCTCCATTAAAAGTTTGCACTAAAGAGGAACAACGAGCAGTAATATGATTCCTCTGGTTGAAGGGTGCCATAGGTTAAGAAATGCACCGCAGACTAACATCACAACATGGGGTAATGCACTATCACACAGACCTGTATTTTTGTGGATCAAATAAGTGTAACGCATGAAGAGGGAGCAGGACAGCCATAAACCTCCACTACAAATTACCTCCACTACAGATGACAACATTAAGCAAGTTGGTGAGATGGTCTTGGTAAATAGTCGAATTACCATCGACGAGGTAGCATCAGCGTTAAACATTAGTCATGGTTCTGCCCATCAAATCACCCATGACGAGCTTGGCTTTCATAATATCTGTGCACGGTGGGTACCAAGAAAGCTTACTGCCTCAGACTTAGACGTGCAAAATGTGGTGCAAAAGTGGCTTCACAGCCAACCGAAAACCTTTAATTTGGAAGGAATATGTAAGCGTGTTGACCGTTGAGCAAAGTGCACTGATAAGGAGGGAGTTTGCCTAGAAAAATGATGTACATAGTAATACCTTAGCTTCATGTAAATAAATTGAAGAATGAAAAGTCTAGATAACTTTTGATTCTTCCTCCTATATATCTTCTTCTTCTTCTTTTCATTCACCAGCTGTAAACTCTGGCGGAAAGTTATAGTTGTTCATAAACTTCTGGACTTCAGTCCTGTCCCAGAACCTGAGTGTTGCGTGTTCATCCATTTTACAGATCTGACTCATTTGTATGCAGACTGCTGGTTCCTTGCCTCTCAGGCAGATGCACTCTGACTTCGAAAAAAGCTCCCAATTAGTCGACTTTTACGACATGCTTTTGGGTAGGCAGTGGGTCTATTCTTGTTGTCCCTAAAATAGGGCCCCGGAACTCACACAGAGACATCCTATATATATTCAAGTATGTCTGTGTATACAGGCATTTATTTAGCTGTGTTTATTTGAATGCAAGTTATGCCTGAGTGTTTCTTTCTTTCTATTTTTTTCAACAACTTGTTGAAATAAAGTTCATTTATGCCATTCATATGCAGAAGGTATGATACACTTTCTTTTAAAAAGAAAAGAAGAAGAGGAGAAAGAAGTAAACAAGGGAAATGAACGAGAATAAGATAAGGAGAAAAACAAGTATGAACATCTCCCTTTCATTCCTAGACAAGTCTCTGGTATAAATTTGTAAAAAGAGGACTAAAGAAGAAGAGAAAGAAGAAGAAGACGAGAAAGAAGAAAAAGAGAAAGAAGAAAAAGAGAAAGAAGAAAAATAAGAGAAAGAAGGAGAAGATGAAGAAGAAGACAAATATTAGTGTTGATGATTTTGCTAGAAATTATTGAATGAAAAATGCACTGAATTAAAAAACAGAAACAGCAATGGGTGTAAACATATCACATACTTGAGCCCGTGGACTTGGTCTTCCATTAATGAAATCAGGGGACAGATAATGATAGAAACACGCTTTGTGAAAACTGATGGAAACTGGAATGTCAAACTTTTCCCATAGCCTGCAAAAAATATGTCATAGGTTAAACATAATTAGACATATAATATTCATCAATTCACTTCTTGGTATATATTACCATTAAGGTATTAAATGGTAGCAATATACAGAAATATCTTCTTCATTCACCTTTAAAAGAGCAGCTGGAATGCTGTTTTGTGGTTTACAACTAGGCTGTGTTATCTGTGCATTTCAGCCCAGCACATCTAATTTCAGCAAACCCTTAATTAGTTGCCTCTTACAACATGCTTGATAAGGGGCAGTGGGTCTATTCATCACCCCCGATCCCCAGTGTAGGGCCACGGAACCCACACATGGAATACATACTTATGTTTGTAACTCACATTATTCTTTGTTCCTGCTTCAGAGAGCCGGTGACACAGTGATGCCCCTCTTAGCTCATGTGTCAGGTTGCCAGACATTGGCATGCATTTGTATAATTTGCAAAATGTTGATGTTGTTTTTGTTTTGGAGACATTTTCTATTTAAAGCAATAATCTCCATTTACGTCTGCGTATATATTTTCCTAAGTTTTTCCAGGAGAGCACTCTTATCTCTCAATCACAGTCAACAGTTACTGATCCTTCAATCCCAAAGAGTTGTAATTTAACAAACAAGCAAAGGTCAAGTGTGGCTCAAAAGAAATTAAAATAATACCCCTATGAGAAAGAAGGAACTTAAGAAACCATTCAGACGAGTAAATTGTAAAAATGTATGTGAAACAGAAAAGTCAGAAAACTTGACTTTCTTTGGACTAACTAATAAATGTATAATGAGTTGCTTGGTTGTTAGTATCTTTCCATATAATAGCATTATACTGTGCTATACGGAAGGCATTGGAATCAAAACGCTCTCCAGTGCACACAGGCTGGGCACTACTGTAGGGACCATGTGTTGCCCATGCATTATATCTGTTGCTTGGTACAGCAAGGTTTAAAGTCAAGAGGAGCCACTTCACTGCACCAGATTTTATTCTAGACGACTCGATTCCTCTTACCGAACAGTCACCTGCCAAGAATGCTGCATAAAGCACGATACTATACAGATCCAATGACAAACCCAGGGATATCTGTAAAAATTACTGAAAAAAAATGTGAAGAGAGAACAGTACAGAGATACAGCTCATTAGCAAGTATGTGTCAACCCATATGTCTGTCCTGTGTGTATCTATGCAAATTCATATGTGAACATGGCTGATTATAATGCTGACTAACCTGTTGCCATAATAACACAATTATCCCGTTTATCATTTAAGACAGAATTTATTATCTTCCACTGCATTCTGAAAGAAAAATGAAAATAATATTTCAGAGTTAAAAAAAAGGTTATACTTGATAAACACGCCACATATCCATCCTACTGTTTTACGTAATCAAATAGAAGAATTTTTTTTAGCCCTTCGTTACCTAACAGATCACAGGCCCTCAACCAACTTGTGCCAAGTCATCCTGTCTTTTGCTCCTGCTTGCAGCGTACACCATGTCCTTTCTATATGTTTCACAGCATTCTCTCATTATCTTCACTGTGTTTTTTGGCCAAACTTTACTCCTTTGACCCTGCAAGTTCCAGAGCAAGGACATTCTAGTCATCAATGTTTCTTAAAGAAATGTTCTATCGATGCCAGAGCCTCTTCTTCACTTCTTGATTCACTGGCATTTCTGTAGTTCTCTCCCAAACCTCCCCATTTGGACTTCCCTTTTTTTTAATTCCCTCAATTCAGTACAGTCATGTGGTAATTTTAAAAAATGGTACTGCATTACATAAGATAAGCCAGCTCTCCATTAACAGTTTATAAGAAAACTTCCACATGCATACCCCTAATTTTTAAATACATTTTCATTTTCTGTGTTTGTTTTCTGGTTTTATTTTTAGCCGTAAACTTTGAACAGTACCTACTTACACTTCTCATTTAAAAACCTTCACCCTACATACATTCCGGATTTTTCATTCAGCATGTTCAAAAGGCTGCCTTCCCACTGTACTAATACCTGCATAGCTTTTTGTACCATTCCTCACCCCACTAATTCATACCAAAAAGATTTGTTACACATTGTATATCCTGTGACTGCAAAACTGAAAAATTCTGTTAAATTTTGCATTTAAAAACAATCTCCTCTGCAGATTTCCAGATAAGAGAAACAGTTGGACGATGAAATGTCAGCCTTCGCTTCCCATGACATTTTCTGTTACCCCTTTAAGGCTGGGTTAACCTCAGAGACAAGATCAATTATAAAACATCCACCCTAAAGTGGATTCAAATAGTGTATACAGTTTTCATTCACTAAATTTATTTACAAATTTAAAAAGGAATAATCTGCATTTAAAACATCTTTAGCAGTGCTTCGGTCTCTAACCAGTTCAACAAGTAAAGAATGCTTGTACTTTTTCATGGCTTTTTGAGTTAGGATGACCAGTTCTTCTCTGTACCCAATTCACAGCAAAACTAAGTGACCAGTTTGTGACTTTAAATGATAAGTAACTTTGGATTTCTTCTTCTTTTTTGTTCTCCTTGCCAGCGGTTTTCAGATGAGAAGGTCACAGGCATCTATGAAGGCGGTGGTGCAATATACATCCTCCACTGATCCATACACCTTAGTTTCCAAAGCAATGCTAACTGGCTAGACAGCATGACAGAGCATATTTACAGCACATGTTCAGTATTGTGTGATGCACACAGGCAAAGTCCTGAGTTCCACCATCTTGAATTTCCTGTACATCTGGCTGCAGAGTCCTGTTGTGTCCAGTTCGCAAGAAATGTCTGCTGAGACTATTGAAAAATAAAAAACCAGTCCAAGCCATTCACATATGTGTTACATTTTAAAAATCTCTTTCTCAATCATCTTTTCTGTCCCATTTTGCCTTGATTATCAGGTTAAGAGAGAACGACTTTTTTTCAAAAATGACCTTGGTTTCCAGGTCAACTCAGCATTGAGTGGGTACCGGATGCAGTCCCGGGAATAAAGGCGACCCGCTATAAAATATAGGTCTAGCTCTATATGCCCTATAAGCCTAAAGGCATGAAAGAAGGTCCTTTACTTTTTTTTATGAGGTTATGAAGAGACATGTGGGACATATTTGAGTGTGTTTCAACAACAATGACATTAAAAGGATAAGTCATTTCAACTGGCAGTGCATAATCTGCCACTGTTTTGGCACTTGCAATTATTTTAAGAAAGAATTATTGTTACATGAACATGACCATTCGTACCATTACTACAATATGAATGTTGCTTACGGTCGAAAGTTTGAGTACCCAAAGTACTGTTTCAAAACTTCCTGATAAACAGGATCAGTTGGTTGGTGGACATCATCTGTAAAATAAATGGCATGTTGTATTATCGTACTGAAATCAGCTATCACCAAGTCGAAAATATCAGATACACTTGCTCCTCAACTTATAACCCATGCGACTTATAACTATTTAAAAAACAAAAACAAGGAAGGATAACTACAATGGTATGGTTAAAAAAGTTATAGACACTGATACCTAGAGTTTAATTTTAACATATTAATTGCATTTTTCTGTTTTATGGTTTAAATGAAAAAAGTGTTGAAAATTATAAATCACATGACCAGTTCGACTTAGCCTCTTAGTGGGAACGGAACTCAGTAGTAAGTTGAGGAAACTTCTGGCTGTTCATCCAATTCTGGACTTTTGTCTTTTCCAGAATTTGAGTTTTGTGTGCACATCCATTTTAGAGATCTGGCATATTTATATGAAGACTATTGATTCCTCACCTCTCAAGCAGATGCATGATGTCCAAGGAAATTCCCCCAATAATCGACCTTATCTAAATGCCTGTTAGGTGGCAGGGGATTTAGACCACCCCCTCCCACCCTTCCCCCGCCCCCACCAGCAACAATGAGCTTCAGAACCCACACTAGGAAGTGCGAATATGAGAAGAAAATGCATCCAGGCAAGTCAAGCTACCTTTATCCACATGTGCCTGGATCTTACCGCATGTCTTTCAAACTCTGACAGGTAGGAAATAGAGCCAGCATGATTCTGACCTTATCAATACCTGAGTGCCAATTGATTATAAAATGCAGAGCTAGGACCATATAACAAATGAGTTATGACTTGGCTGAACTTCAAGGCATTCCAGACATGCCCACAGGTGCTCAGATTCCCCATCTAACATATACATCAGCGTCCCGCAGTTTAGTTGTCAGTCCTATGCTGGTTGAAAAGGCTTCTTGTACAACCGGTGTGGCTCTCATGCCTGGCTGTGCTGATCTTTACTCCCACTTCTCGCATTCTTAGCAGTGATGTGAAAAATAGTATAGTAAATACACCGCTTTACATTTTATACTGCATTGAGGCTTGTCATATCATCACAGAAAACAAGATACCATGAAATCTACTTCAATGGAAGACAGTGAATGTGCTACAAGGACTGGTGATTTCAAGGATTGGGGACTAAAGAAAGAGTGAAATAAAGATGTTTTAAAGCCATAACACATAACTACATATGAAATCTGAGCAAACACACTTGATATGATACATCATTAAGAAACATGATTTAATGACAATAATCGGTGTTTTCTTCTTTATTCACCCCAAACACGGGAAATCCAGGGGAAATCAACAGCTGACGGGACAGTCAACTATTTCATGGGGTGGTATCATTTCATTTGCCATGCAAGTCTGAGTTTTGTGAGCTTCTTGTGCTGTTTTGGTGCGCAATTGGCTTTATGTGTCTGTGTGTTGGTGCGCAATCGGCTGGTGTACAATACTGGTAATGTTTTTGGTTCTCATTTCCGTGTAAATGTCTAGTGTAGTTGGTATCACGTCTGCCTTACAATCGAAAGGTGCCGCGTTCAACTCCTACATGAATTTCTTTCTGGGTTTTTGTAAATTGAAACTGTACAGTTCAGCTCTTCGCACACTTTCGGCAATAGATCACCCAAGTATTAATTATTTACAAAAACAATAGAGTAATAAGACGGATTATACAATTAATGGCTCTACTCCGAATAACGCTCCTAACTTATTGAGGCTAAGAAATTACCCTAACATGGCCTCAATGATTGTGACTGTGCCACCAGTGAAACTGCCAACTGTGTAGATTCGTCCCGCCCTAGTAATGTGGTGTCCGTTTCAGTTGCATGCATAACCTTTCAATCGTTAGCGTTGCGGTTGGACTTTTGTGACAGATTCTGGTGGCGGTGTCGTAATGGTTGCCCTAACCCTAACCCTAAGCCTAGGACCCAGGGGAGAATTTACACCTAGGACCCAGGGGAGAAGTCAAACCTAGGACTCAGGGGAGAATTAAAACTAAGACCCAAAAGAGAAGTTACACCTAGGACGCAGGAAAGAAGTTAAACCTAGTACCCAGGGAAGAAGCTACACCTAGGACAGGGAAGACATTAAACCTAAGACCCAGGGGCAGCAGCAGAGACGATTGCAACAATGTCTGCCAGACTAGTCGCAAAAGCACCCATTTTTCTACTAATTCAAGGAAATTCACAGCGATAAAGACTTGACCAAGACGCTGCAAACACAAGTCGCTGGCAACGCACACCAAAGCCTTGGCAGTGAGTGCCAAAGCCTTGCGAAAACCTTGGCAGCGCAGAAAGACAGCTGGAAACACACTGAAAAAGCCCCATCTTACCACCCTCAAAATTATCTGATTGTCCTGTGACGTCATCGTGACATCATTGGGGTGAATAAAGATGAAAAACCCAATAATCTGATACAGTTAAAAATTATCTTACCTGGCTCATCATCATCAATGCAGTGTATATTTTCTATGCCACTTTCTTCTGCACAGTCATTAAGCTGGGTCATAAAGAACGGACATATCAATACAAATGAACACATACACACAAAATTAAAGGTATATTATGGAATACACTACCTTCTGTGTGTGAATGTTTGATTTTCATTTGTACTAGGAAACAACACTTGTAAGACATGAATTCTCTTCCCTGCAACTCTTCCTTATAATTTCAAGTCTATTTCTCACTCTTGTGGAAAACAGTATTTGTTGATTTTTTCATTAGCCAAATCCAGAGAGAGCATTGCTTTAAGCTAGGTGTTTATTTTCCAAGCTTAAATTATTTAACCTTTGTTTTAAATGACTTTTACCTGTCCCCTGTGCCTTTCCACGGCTTCAGTCAGTTTGCTTTCGCCAAACATCTTGTAGTTTATGTTTGTAGCTATTTCACAAGCAATTACAAATGGTCATGTGTTCTAGTTCCCCTCTCCCCCCTCTGAGACAGAGACTTTCTTTTTAATTAATTTGTGCTTCCCATGTTGACCCAGGTTAAAAAAAGTACCAGAAAATATCCTTCGATGTAAAGGTAGCTGACATATTGATCACATTACCCATTGTGCAACTGGTTTATACAACTGTGGGTCTAGCACCATACATCAATCACGTAAAATGGGTTCAATATTTTGTACTGCTAGATTTTGCTGGATAATGCACTAATAAATATAGTGTTACAAACGATAGCCTGAAGCATGACTATTGTCAATGGCGTTTTATTTTTCTCATTTATTGTTTTCAGTGCCTAACATTTTAAGTTTAACTTTACTAGAGACCACAACTCTTGCTTTCTCTCTCTCTCTGTATGTCTGTCTGTCTCTCTAAAAAAAAAAATATTTAAATATATATATATATATATATATACACACACACACACACACACACACACACACACACACACACACACACACACGTTGTGTGTGTGTATGTTTGTGTGTGTGTGAGAGAGGGAGAGAGAAACGTATGTTTGTGTATGTTTGTGTGTGTGTGAGAGAGGGAGAGAGAAACGTGTGTGTGTGTATGTTTGTGTGTGTGTGAGAGAGGGAGAGAGAAACGTGTGTGTGTGTATGTTTGTGTGTGTGTGAGAGAGGGAGAGAGAGACGACACCAAAAATGGGAAAAATTTAGATTCAAATGGTCTGAATATACACATTCAATTAAATCAAGAAACACACCACAGTATTTTAGCTAACCATTATTAAGCAAATTTGAACCTTCTTCTTTCCTCCCCTAGTGCAGCAGAGGCCCTCAACCAAGTTGTCCAATCCTTTACTATTGCACTCACACACCCTATGTCATCCACAGATTTTTAACTTCGCTTTCCAGTTCTTTTCTCCATGTGTTTGTCGGTCTGCCTTTATCCCCTTGGATCCTATTGGTCCCCGTGTCTCTAGTTATATTTTTGTATCAAGTTTTCTCAACGTGTTACCTCCAGTATCAGATCAGCATCTTTTCTTTGCATCTTTATTCCTTAACATGCAAATATTTTCAGTGAGAACTGGAGTTAGCAATCAGCTTTTGAATCCATGTGCTAACCTTACAGTAGCTTACAAAGCTTTTTCTGTACGACTTAAGTAAAGCTATATTTTATAATTAAACTTTTAAACACCCACCTGTTTAATAGACTCTTCATTCTCATTTTCTGAAGTAATACTGGACTGCTCGGCAATTTTACTCTCCACTGCCTCATCGAAGAAATCATCAAAATCTAGGTCGTCTAAGTTTTCAAAATCATCCAGCACCTGTTCCGTAGTTTGTCCTTGTAAATGACACTCTGTCGATTTTGTGTCTGCTATTTTAACTGTACCGCTAACTGAATTTGATGGATCATGTATTGCAAGTGAAACTGCTGAAACACTTTTCTGGCACTGTTCTAGTAATTCGAATAAACTGTCATCTTGAAGATCCTCCTCCTGTCTTGTTTCAGCAAATGTGATGGTTTCTTCAATTTGTAGTTTCAAATCTCTGAGAGCCTTGACCAGAACACTGAGATGCATGTTTATTGTTTGTCCTTTTGTGACGAAGTAAATATTATGCACAATGAGATCTTTCAATATTTATTTCCATACCAAAATCAGAAATGGCTGGTTCTATGCTTTGTGGCTTGTTCTAAATTTCTTTTGTCATTATAGTCTGTACAAAGAACTTAACCACAGCAGGGCAACACAATCACTGTCTTCACTATGCAAAAAAAGAAATACTGCCATAACAGTTTAATTCAAAACCTGTGTAATTAAAGTCTGTACAATTAAAAGAACTTAACCACAGCAGGGCAACACAATCCCTGTCTTCACTATGCAAAAAAAGAAATACTGCCATAACAGTTTAATTCAAAACCTGTGTAATTAAAGTCTGTACAATTAAAAGAACTTAACCACAGCAGGGCAACACAATCCCTGTCTTCACTATGCAAAAAAAGAAATACTGCCATAACAGTTTAATTCAAAACCTGTGTAATTAAAGTCTGTACAATTAAAAGAACTTAACCACAGCAGGGCAACACAATCACTGTCTTCACTATGCAAAAAAGAAATCCTGCCATAGAGGTTGAGCATAACCTGTGTAATTAACATGGTCCTGATTATCCTCTCATATAAACTCTAAACTACTGTCACAACTAAAAATGTTAAAAATCCCTATACTAGGTACAAATGTGAACATAAATCCTTCTTGCATTTTCTAAAATAAAATTATAACTCTATTAGAAACAGTCAAAATACAAGTGATAATGTGTAATTTATTGCTAAAACACAAATTAGTGGAATTAGTATAGGTCCTTCATCATCACTAAACAAACAGCAGTGAAAGATAGAAACAAATCAAAAGTGTGTAATAAAAATCAAGCATTTTCTTACTGTCTCCCTCTTTTCCTCTCCAACCTTTCTAACATCACACTGTACTAAAGTTTTCTCCAGATCACATGACCAAAGAATGTAGATTATCTTTTTATAACATGGGCAATCAGGGTTTTTTTTATGAGTCAATTTCTTTCGAGACATTTTCATTGCTCCTTTAATCTGTCCCTGGTTTTCTCATGATACAACTACATCTCCGCCACTTCCAAATAATTTTTTACTAAACGACCAACTGTTCATGATTCACCTACATGTATCAGGATAGGATTTTAATAAGTTCTTGTGAATTCTCTTTCTCATCTCAAGTGATAAATAAAGATTGCATAAAATATTCTTCATTTTATAAAATACTAACTTTGCTTTAGCTATTTTACATTTAACTTCTTTAATACATCTTCCATCTGCTGTTATCAAGATGCCCAAGCATTTTAACACATCAATGTGTTTCAGGATTATTTCATTTCCATCAATGCTGCGTTTTGGGACTCTATTTTCATTGTAATTGATCATTACATTTCGCTGTTAATTATTATAAATTAAAAATAAAAACTACATCCATTTTCACGGAAATGCAGAAAGTTTTATCTTGCAGAGCTTTTAAAACAGATTGTATAGCACAGCAGTACTACAGTGGCAAACTGCACCGCGAGTTGTTGTAACAGACTACGGTGATTTAATATATTTTCATATATTATGCATCCCCATTTACTGTTAATTCTTGTTAAATTTAATTAACCATTCATTTCAACATTACCTGGGGAGTTAAAATTAGTTAAGCTGTTGAAATATTTCAAAACTCAACATATATATATATATATATATATATATATATATATATATATATATATATATATATATATATATATATATATATATATATACATATATGAAGTGACCGCAGATGTGAAAGCAAAAGATCATTTGGGTGATGTGGTCGACATCATGCCGACCGCTTTTACTTCCTAGGACTTATCCTGGTACCCATTTAATGCTGGGTTGAAATGGGAACCAAGGTAATTTCTGAAAAAGTTCAGCTCTGTTCAGATTTGAATCTACAACCTTTGGATCTTCAGGCAAGCATCTAGCTGCTACAACATGGCGGCTTCTGATATGTATGATGTAGGTATGTTAAAATATTTCAAAAAAAAATTTGTATTGTTAGGTCTTGTCATAAACACAGTCACATATTGTTGATAAGGTATATATGTCTAGAAAATTTAAAGTGCTGAAAAGGAATTTTTTCTGGACTGTTTTGTTAGCCTATGGCCCTATGAAACTCCAAAAAGGCTCCATCTCCAGAGGGTTAATATAAACATTTAGTGGCTCTCCTAGCAGATTTGGCCGGTAAGCTGCACTGCTTCGACTGCTTCGGCCGGCTTAGCGGGACTTAGTGGGAGTTATGTCCCCGTGGCCGCACTCAAAACATCGAGCGGATAAAGTCACGAATCAAATGGCATACTTACCTATCATCATCCGGGTGCGTGTAGGGTTGCGTAGGGTGTCTATCATCGTCCTACGGTTGCGTGTAGGGCTGCTTATTGTGTGTAGGTTGGTTGTTTGCGTCAAATGAGGGGTGGGGTTAGGGGTTAGGGTTAGGGGTTAGGGTTATGGTTCAATGCGAAAATTTTCACGCAGGAACTCGAAATAGTGGCCGACAATCTGATGCTTGTGGGAGTGGCGTCACTGAAACTCTGCCAAATATGACACCAATAGCGGGCGGCTGGTGCCCAATCGGTGGCGAATTGTCCGTGTCAGTAGCATCCACCGTCCGCCGACTGTTTGCGCGTGCATGCGACTGTGCGCGATTATAGGGAACTACGGCGTCACAATTGTCACATCTAACGCTACACCTAACCCTACCCCTAACCCTAATCCCTAAACCCTAAACCTAACTCTAAGTATGTCATTTTTTCCGCTTTTCCACTTTTTCCGAAACTTGTTTTGAGTTGTTTTGAGTTTGGCGAAGGGACGTAACTCCCACTAAACCCCACTAAGCCGGCCGAAGCAGTTTAGCTTGCCGGCCAAATCTGCTAGGAGAGCCCATTTAGTAAACGTAAATGATTCATTACATTAAACATTCAATCGCCATCTGTTGGTCCTTTATCTTCCTTCCAGTACCACAGCTCTATTTACTGCCTTCAGGCTGTCCTTTTCTTTCACGTTCTTTACCATCTCAATGTGAATACAGGCAGTGTCTACTCCTCCTTCATTATTATTAAGGTGTCGCAGTAACACACCTGGCAGTGCATTAGTGTTGTTGACAATATTTTTCAACTTTTCCTTTGTCTCCAAATCTACATCTTTAAATAACTCTAGGTCAAGAAATGACAACAACACTGAGTGTACGCACAAAGTCTGATGATAATAATAATAATATCGTTTTTCATGTACATGACTCTCAAGTAAGTACACTCGACTTATTTATTCTTAATTTTTAAGTTTCCAGTAACGTAATTTAAAGTAGATTGCATGCTGAAATGTTTTACAGCTGAAACATCCAGTCTGAAAAAGTTTTGGATAGCTGAAGTATATCATACTATCAACACTCACTGTGCATAGTTCATGTAGATCAACTTTCATCGCTGATAAACATTGGTTGTGCAAAAACAAACCATCGTTTGGCCTTGGCGGCGATTTGGTCGACGTCTGCTTACTACTTGTGAACAGTGTTGCCACTTTTCTTTGACAAAAAATATCCAAAACGGTGTCAAAAAATATCTAAAAAGATCTAAAACTGCGTGGAAAAGATCTAGAAAAAACATCCATATTGAAGAAGTCAAAAATTACAAAGCTTTTGTTATGACTTACCCTACATAATCATGTCATCACCTCCACTGATGTCTGCCTCACGAGATCCACAGGATAAACTTAGCTTGGATAATGAAGTCGAAGCTTCAGATCCAAAATGACCCTGGTATGCTTTAGCTGTTCAAATTTCTTTATAAGTGGAACAGTAGGCTTATTTCTCTAGTCTCATCAGGCCGAATTTTAATGGCACGATAGCATTTTAGAGGTCAAATTTCATCCTGTTTCTTATGTTAGATTTGATATAATTCCTAGCACTGAAAACTCTTTCTACGTCAGCATTTGAGTGGGGTAGTATCATGGCAGACATGGCCCATTCAAAGAGCTTACAGAATGGACTGTTTGATGAGGCATCATTAAATTGTCTCACTTCACTCCAAAACGTTTTAGTTTCTGTTTTGTTTGTTTATTCAGCTAACTTTATTTTGGTTAACTGATATTCTGCTTCCGCGACACTATTATCAGTAGCCCCTAAAAATTTCATAACTTTACAATATTTAGGTATGTCCTTTATTGGCTGAAGTATGTTGCTCACAGAAAAAAAGTGAAATATTTTTCAAAACATATAGATTTTCAGGAAGTCTCTGCTTCAATTGCTTCAATAATGAGATAAGGAAATCTTGACAGAGTTTTCTTAAGTTTTTCTCTTCGTTGTTTCTTAGCAGTCCTTTTGTTTTTAAAATAATCAATTTTTGATTCGATTTAATATCCAAGGTGTGGCTTAGGAGCCAAATAGCTCTCTATAGTGCAAGTGAGCAAATCAGCTTTAGAAGTTGGAGCCGAAGTTGGCAACACCAGTCTTTTACCGAGTGAAATAGCAAGGTGAGATCATCAAGTAATTTAAATTTATCAACAAGTTTAGATTCGAACAGTTTATTAACTTTTTGCACTTCCATTAGAATAGGTTATAAAAAGATAATGAATTGACAACTTTTTTTCATCACTGTACATTCCATATAGTATTTCAGCTGTGTAGCACTTTTCACTTTGTCTTGTTATTTCAAAGCGTGTCTTCAACTTCAGCCATAGCTTCAAATTCTTTCAACAGCTGGTTAAATTGATAACCATCTAGTTTCGCAATCTGACAGAATTTTCGGTGGTGTGGAACCATTATTCAAGGCTGTATATAATGTATTGTATTGTTGTTGTCTGACAAATGATTTGGAAAACCAGTAAAGTGTTTCAGCAATAAGGTATTCCAAATTCCTTGGTAAATATTTAGATGAAGCATGTGATAATGCTAGCTGCAATGAATGACACATACATTTTATAATTAACGATGGGTTAGCTTCCTTCAACGCCATTGTTTATACCAACCATCACTGAGGCATTATCAG